TAAGGCGTCAGCTTACGGACCGGAAGGTCCGTGGTTCGAACCCAACCTCAGCATCTCGACTGCTCCTGTTTAGGCTTGGCAATATCTCAGCCCTCGTGCTCATTCCGGGTGACATCGCAGCCGCGCACCGAAAGGGTGTTAAAGCTGAACGATGTATGTATGTATGCTAGGTTTTCAGTGCTCTTCGATAGTCCAACCTGAAAGTCCCATGAGATTGGATATAGGCAAGTTATTGGAAAGAAGCAACCACAACTGTTATCAAAGTAAATTTTAATTTAATCTAACGGATGTTCCACCAATCGCTCTTGGTGATCATTGGGCTCATGTAGAGAATACCATAAGCTAGACTCAATAGATCTGAGGTAATTCGGTGGCCTGGGACCCGTATACTTTCAACTGGCTTTTACCAAATTTTTATGCTCGTCGATTGCTACCAGCACTGAGTGTATTTAGTGCGCCTTCCCTAGACATGCTAACTGTAAGGTCAGTTGAATCCCGGTGATCGTCATATGCTGCCTAAAAGACAGTGGCCTCTGTAATTTTGCTTAAGTTATTCCACTCTATACGAAGTTGATGGTGCCAGGTTCCATGTTGTACACTTACAACCAGAGTTTTCGTTTCACCACACACCGGATTTGTTTCGTTTTCTTTAGCAGTTCTGAAAGACCGCAGTCTGTTACAGCAGTGTATATGTCAGGTTAACTGGTAGATGATGTTCGTCTCGTCTCAGGGCTAAAGTTCGATCGGGAACGTGCTATCCCTAGTAGCTGTTCTTTTCGGTTTAATGTCTGTAAATATGTTTTATCCCCTAGTTCCAAGAAAACCACTCCTTTCGGCTAGGGTGACTCGGTCCATGTCCCCAGTAGCCATTCTGTGGTAGTGTTCATTACCGGAACTCTTGCATTTCACCAAGAGTATAAATATTTCTTGTTCTATAGGAGTCAGCCCCCTTTGTAAGTTATTGATACAAGAGTGGATGTGTTAGCCACTCCAGGTTGTTATCGGCATACAGTACATATTGATGTGTTATCCGGACGTCTTGCGTAAAATATTTAAGAGTGCTCATCTGTCGTTTGACTCTCAAGGGGAAGTGAATGTTACTAAGACCAAAAAAGAACAAACGAGATGTCATCAACATATTTTTGTGAATTTCGCAATGTAGTCACACTTGTTTCTCTACGACTGTATCAGCAAGTGTAGGGTCAACGCAATCGCTTCTTTAAATACTGTTACAAATTTCAGTTGTGGTAGTCGGACGTGATACACACCCGACTGTCAGTTAATCTTTAATAAGGATCGCCCACACCTTGCACAACGGCAGCAGTTTTTAATGGTACCTCACTCGTTAGATTAGCCACTCCTTCGGGCGACCAACAATCCGAAAAAAATCGCTCACACCCTTCCGGCTGCCATGCTACCCGAAAAAAGCACGAGGGCTGGGATACTGCCAGGTTGCCCAAGCCTAGACAGGGGAAGTCGAGAGGCAGAGATCGGGTTCGAACCACTGACCTTCCGGTCAGTTAGTTCGCGCTCTAACCACTTGACCCATCCCTCCCGAACAGTGACCAACAATGGCCGTATTTCTTGATTTTACATCTGCCCTTAACTCTGTTGATCGTCAGAAACGGTGGCAGTGTCTAACGGTGAAGGGTGTCCGCCTAAATTCGTCTATAAATGTTCTATACGTCTCCACCCGTGGCCTCGTTCATGTCCACGGTAAATTCTCTCCTGAATTCACCAACTTCAGTGCTGTCAGACTAGGATGTTCTCTGTAGCTCCTTTTGTTCAATTTCGTGATCGATATGCTGCTTGAATCTCGTTTACCCGCCTATAACATGTCATAGGTAGGAATACTCCCGGGATGTTCGCAAATCGGTAATATTACACCCTTAGGATCACGCCTTGTGGGAACACAAACTACTTTGAATGAATTAGACGACTGATGCAAAGTTCGGTTTATGCCTCGCATGTGTAAGATGAAAAGTGATCAAAAATAAGCCTCATACTTGCATGTGAACCGATCGATGTGGTAGATGAGTTCGCTATATGGGCAGCCACATACATCCCGGCGAACTGGTGATGCCACTTCCCGAATAGAGAAGGCCAAAGCAGCGTTTGCCAACCTCTGAAACAAGCGTCAATGTGTAGTCTGGTTAACTTTCAGGGGCGGAGTATACAATGCCGCGGTCCAATCTGTCCGGTGAGTGCGGAAGATCATCGGAGACTGCGTTTGACCATTGGAGCTTCTAAACCACTGCACAGGTCTAGTGGGAACATGGATCAGGAAAGTCCACTCCGATCGATCTGCTGGTCATACCCCACATGTTACGTTGGTTAGGCCATGCACTTATGCCAGAGAATCGTTTGCCCTGTATAGCTCTTTTTGCCCAGCCTTGTGCCAGATGGAGACGATCCAGTGTTGTTCAGTCCATGACTTGGCAACGAATCATGAAAGCTATTACCAGTCACCTCAATTCACGTTGTTAACTGTCTTCCCAGGTGGGGACTGCGGGATAAGACAAACTCCTTTTCAGTGCCTAGCTACCATGCCGTCCGAAGGAAGCACAAGGGCAGAGATACTACTAGGTTGCCCAAGCCTAGACAGGGGAAATCTAGATGCAGGTGTCAGTAAATTCGCGCTTTAACCACTGAGCCACCTCGTACCCACGAGACAAACTGATGGTTAGTTACCCTGACGAATGACTGTGTTACGCAGCCAATGGCCCTCTTACATCAAGGCTATCGCCTTTATTGCGTAGATCTCACTTCGTGCCATACTAGACGAACATTTGTTTACCGTCAATGCACAGATTTGGCTCCAATGCGTGACTATTATCCTCTTATTTTCCTCGTCCTCGGTGAACGAAGCCGTAACAGCCGGAATCACTGCACATCAGTGCACGGGTGTGAGCTAGGAAACCTAACTGACCTGAATTCATTACTTTGGTAACATTACTTTGATAACATTTCGTTCGGCGCTTCATATTCTTCGATCTTAGTTTTGACAGTTGGATCTGAAAGACTATTTCTATTGTGGTCCACACAAATTGATAGAGACTTTGTGCCTTAACTGCCGAGCTTTCTGTAGCTCAAATAAGACTGCTGAATGCCTGCACGGCAAAATAAAAACAGCTTCAGGATAGTTGACAAAACGCCCCTGAGAAGAAAGTAGGTCAAACGGAAATCATGAGCAATAATCAGAAAGACATTTTCGGACTGTCACATTACTACTGCAAAGAAACATTTTCAAGAAATATTGGGTGGGGTTTTACCCAATTTAATATAAGCACTTCTTGATTGATTCTCAAAAAGTGGTAGAAATAACCACTTTTGTGAGTGGACTGAAAATTCAAATGCAAGCTTTCAGCAAGGTGCATTCTAATGATTAACGTACTTTAATAAGGCATGTTTTTATTTGATTTCAATGGATACGGCGTAAAGGTGGAATACCAGTTTGAATATGAGTCATCCAACAGGGCCAAAGACACCTATCAGGGTAGGTGGTAACCAATATTACTTCCTGGGCTTGAGAAAAGGAGTGTTTTGTGGACTGCCGATGTGACGTTTTGCGGTCCTTCGTGAGCAAGTGGAGACGTATATGTCTTCTGATTTTGTTTGTCTTGGATCGGATGTCTCTGTTGTTAAGGTTATAAGCCAAGGTAGTAGCCATCCGCTTATCTAGAATCGGTCGACTTCGGTGACACGTCACATCCTTGAGTTGTTGCGGTTTGTTTTCTCGCATTCGGTTTATTTGAACCTGAAACAGTTGTGCGAAGCGTGTTACAGTTTTACTTTGTCCAACGGCAACTAATGTGGTTTGATTTACCCCAAATTTTCAGCCCTAGAGATTGGGTCAACACCTCGTTTTGAACGGTCAGTGGTTGGTAGCTATGTCTGGTGGATAAAAATGGAGCAGGAGCTTGAGGCAACAGTCTTTATACTACTAGTATCACCCCGTTACCATGGGTCACGATTACGTATTCTAGCTTATCCTTAACTCAATACAAAATTCACTTTACGTCCCGTGACATTGTCTGTTGCTTCAGAGGGTCTAGCAACTCGCTGTCACTGCCGCTGTGATCGGGTGGTGAGACTTTCTGTATGACAGCACAGAGACTTTTTAGTTACTGGCTAGAAGTGAATAATGCAATTATTACATATTGGTGCCTGTCACGCTGCGCATTACAAGGACTAGGGACAATCGATCTGGAAGTGCACCAGATATGAACTTAGTTGCCTGGGCGAAGTGGGACTACACACCCGTTTTATGCAGAAGCCAGTAAGGTTATTAAGTACGGCAAAAGCCATATATGCGTGTGGTGAATATAAAGTGAAATTTTTCCAAGCGTCGTTCATACCGGAAAGCTGGCCACTGTCCTTTCTAATGTTTTACTCCGTTTTTCAACCACCCATGCTGGTCCTGTTGTATAAAACACGCAAAAGCGTGGTCCAGCATCCAGAGCCAGCCGAAGCGTAGCGTGCACCATCCAATTTGGCTACCATTGGATTAGTCTGCGGTCGCTACATTACGCTGGCGCCCTATATGCCCGCGTAGTACCGATCAACATTTGAATGTTCTGTTTCTAGCTTTGGCTGTTCACATGTGAGGGATATCCGATTTTCCCCTAATCAGTCTAGTCTCAACTATGGCCTAGAAACCAGTGTTCGAAATATTGCTGTTGCGGATAGATTGTCTTCGTCCCTGTATCCTTCAGTGTAAAAATGTCTGTGCATTTTGTGTACGCCTTGAAAACCTTGTCTGATAAATTCACGACTAAGACACGTTTTTATCGTTTCTCATCTATTCGTGCAGTGATTTACCTCAGCATGGGCATAAACAATGGAAGGCCTATTTCGGTCGAACATTTGATGTATACACCAAGCTGTGGAAGTTTCAACAACAACACCGACAGCAACTGGACGAAGTATACGGCCTGAAGCGATGGCAGATAGGCGAGGTGGCATCGAAGATAGGCCAACTTTATCATCATTACTAGTAGGTTTCTGTTGGGAACTTCATCCATTCCGATTCCTTTGCCTAGTCTTCGAACAAGCGAGGTACATTATCTGAACGAATCGTTTGCCTTTTTCTCTGCGATTCGCACGCGAGGTTATTATTCTAAGGCGAGCAAAGAACAGCGCCCAGATTTGATGGTGAAAAAGTTACGTTACTATGCTCGTTTCATTTTGGTTTGCTTATTATTACGAAAAATGAAGTTGGTGCATGAACTGCTTCGCGTAAGTTCTTCCCATTTCACTCTGATCATTATTCACGTATATTGTAGGAGTTTACGAAGCAGGTAGAAGAGTACACTGCAGTCTATGACCCAGAAGATCAATTGGGTTGGGATATGGTTGTGCAAGAGATTCGTGATTTTGTCGAAGGTGAATCCCTGTGTACTGTGCTCAGTGCCGACTCTACCCCGACTGTGATCACACATCGTCTAAATCAGTACAACAGTCCCCAAGTGGAGAAATGCGGTTCCGGCTATATGCAGCTCTCAGAAGTGCTTATAGTGGGCAATTGCTATGAACAGACACGATTTAGCGAGTTATCGCTTGACATGTATCGCATGTTGCAGACTCTCGAACGTGACCCGCTTGACCCGCTGTTGCCCCACACTCGTCACCCTCGAACAACATCGGCAGATGGTGGCCCCTTGGAGAATGGTATAACTTCTAATGAGGACACAAATGGCCCGTTTTCCCGAACATCCAATCCGCATAAATATTTGCTGTACAAACCAACTTTCTCCCAGTTCAACACCGTTATGGCGGCCGCATTCAAAGATGTTTCAGCCACTGGAGCCGTTCTGCTGTACATATCTGCTGATGGAATCCGCGCCCCTTCCGCAAAATACGGGGATGAACGTAGGTTTCTATTCCTCCGTCTTTTTGGGTTATACATTGTTGTCCCCGTTAAAGGAAAAGAGCCGAAGTGGGTGCTGTTGAGGAACTCGATTATTTACTTTTCCTCATCTTTGCGGCACCAGAAACTCTTGTGAGAGGCTGTTATGAGAATTTTCGTCTCCATAGTGGTGGTTGAGTGGTTACTCTTCCTAGACTTGGTCTCAGATAATGCAAATAAATACTTAATCCGATGGCATAACAGAGTACCTGTCCTTATACGGGGGCGAGATGGCTCAGTGGTTAGAGAGCGAATTTGCTGACCCAAAGGCCCATGGTTCGAACCCAACCTCTTACTGCCGATTTCCATTGTCTAGGCTTGGGCAACCTGGCAATACCCTAGCCTTCGTGCTCCCTTCTGGTGGAATGGCAGATGGGTACCGAAAGGGTGCTACAGCTGAACGATTTTTATACGGAATTCACGTTACTGTTGATTATTAGGTTTCACCGTCTCAGGAATTGAGCTTTTCAAAAACACCGCAGGTCACGTTCAAGTTGATGATTGTGCATGTTCTCATCGCTTTATCATCATACTGTCGACCACACGTTTTCGTTTCACGGTTTGAAATTTTTTGCCGATATGGAGGTGTCGGCAATATTCGACTTTGATGCCTTATGACAACAGGCTCACTTTGGCTATCCCTATAAATTCACCAACATCCGGTACAATCCATTCTGGCCAATATGAAGTTTCGCCCTTTGTTCTTCATTCGATTGTCTGAAAGCGATGTATCCTTTAGTTTAAAAATCGCCTCGTGATCATGCATAACGCCCACTGTCTTTATGTCCTTGGTTGGTCTGGACACCTCTTTTGAATATGATTGGAATGGCTACCTGATCTTGAAATAATGTTCAAGGCAATTACCACGTTTTTTTCAATGAACAGGCCACCCGCTGCGACCGTTCAGAGAGTAAAAATCATATTTACGACGACTTATGGGACATGCGTCGATTTCGCCAGGTCTTTGCTGTGTCCTGCTAACCCGTCGGTTTGTGCTTTCCACGTCCAACTTGTACCTGGTCAGCCCGGCAACTATGGTCCGACATGGTGTCTATTTAGTGGTTGCCATGCTGACCCGAGTGCATCGTGTGCTTGTTACTAGGCTAGGCGACCGGCGTGTTTGGATCGGATTAGTTGCCATGGCGACACATGGGGCGGGCTGTGCCATTGTGTGACTCAGTCACCATTCAACGACCACCCTCACCACTGGCTGTGGTCGTTTGCGCGCGGCTAGTTTGGGATCGGAGCTTCATCTGAGCCCGGACTTCTTGTCTTAATCGATTGGCTGCCCGTAACCACCCGCAGATAGTTTGCTGCCGGACTTGGCTTGTTGTGTTGTTCAACCAGTCCAGGGTGCAGCGCGTGTGTGCGCATTGCATCGGTCACTACTGGTCTTGCGATATCTACAACGTTGTATCGGAATTCTCCGTATTCTTTTTGACATATTCAGAGGACAGGTTGTGCATGTGCGACACCTTAACATACTTCTGCGCATATTTGTCTTGAATGCACCCATACCACATCCAAGCAACGTTACTGTCTTAATTTAGCCGATTAAACATCGCTTAACCATACTGTAACCAGAAACGAACCAAAAATGCATAGTTTTGCTTTCAATGAGGTAACAATGTAAAATGTGAAATCTCCCTCAAACAGCGGAAGTCACGGTTGGGTAGTAATATTCCTTCAGTGAAACCTGTAGTCCCCTTTGGAAGATCGGACGATTTGGGGTTGATTACGGTAGCTGCTCAGGAGAGGCCAATTTCTAGAAGGACCCATGTCAATCACACACGCCAGATTTCTTCATGCAGTCGTTCACCTCCCTGATGAGTTTCCAACTTCCCAATAGAAGATGCTATAGGTGTGCTATGGCAAATAGACATTTCAAGGGCCGAATTAAGCTAGTGACGCAAGCAAATTCAATGATAGTTTCCTTACTACTCAAAGTATGGTTAAACTAGTTGAAGAAATCCACTGTACTATCGTTACTACTACTACCACCCTCGTTTTGCATACCTCTAGTGAGTGCCTCCCTCCGAACCAATTTTCTTGGTCCTTCGATTTCAATAGCAGTAATCATGCTGCAGCTGTCTATCGTGCAATTTTAACGCGACACTTCATGGTCCTAGTGAACAGTGTTCCGTGTATCGGGCTCACAAAATCACAACAGACAGTAAATGCTGGCACTCATCTGACATACAACAATAAGGAAAGAATTCATCGTTTTGTTTTACAGTCATGTTATTCTTTCTAATTGTTGTTTGTTCACTTCCGGATATTTTTGCCGCATACTAAGGTGAATGTGATTTATTCTGTGAGTAACTTGTCTCAATCAAGGTATCATCTGGCTGGGCGATTTATTATAAACCTCTTTTATATAGGAATGAAGCGAAGTCACTTTTGGGGGCTTACTACGTACTTGTACAAAATAACTGGGTGTTTATATTCCATCCCTATCCAACTTTCAGCTCATGCCGGCACGGTGGGATTTGATTGTGGTGGTGTAGTTACTAACAATCGTCGTGAACAGGAATTCAACGTTAAACCGAAAAAGATCACTCTCAAGGAACCGCATTGGTGAGTCAGTTACTGATGACCCTATATTGTTGTTTTGTATAACCGACTGATCTCTCTACACTTACTACCAACGGGCCCGAATTCCGATTCGCTCACCGGCCAAACAGACATTTAGTTCAGTTTGACGATCACGAGCTGCGCTTTGGGTTGCCACTGCTCATGCCAGCAAGTGCTGTAGGATCGCAGTGGGAAAGAAATAGGAAAGCTTTTCGAAGAAAAAGACCACCAGGTTAATCAGTAACAGTATTCAACATACTACACCATCACTGGTTGTGTGACATCTCCCCGTGCACCCATCCGGTAGGACTATCCACCCCATTCGTCCTACATCGGTCTTGGCCACAGCATCCGCCGGTCAGCAGGCGTCGACAAATGCACTCGTTTCGAAATCAACTGCAAGCCTCCGTGTCCGATTTATCTGACTGCTTTTGATATTCGCACTCTCAAACAGGCAGGACGATTAGCTGCTCTTGCTTGTACTGCATATCAAGGACAATGATTGATCCACGCATAGTTGAGCTAATTTGTCCATCACTCTTCACTCGCTTCCGGCTGTGCACCTCTGGCGATCCAGGGGTTCCAAAGGTGATGACTGTTTAGATACGGCTACCGTTCTAGGTCACCGGCATCATTGCTACCTCAGATACCACTGATAGTCGCCTCTGTGTAACTTATCTGGCAACGCCCTTGTATGAACCTCACAGACGAAAGTTGATCGTTGTATGTTCATCGTGTCTGCGTACGCCCCAACAGACTATCTCTACCACCATCAAAGACGGCTTTTATAATGCCTTGAGTGCCCTCCTAGGGCGAACTGGCAGCTCAGATATTGCTGTGGTTGCCGAAGATCTGAATGCACAAGTGAGCCTTGGCCCATCTGAGACTCGATTTGTTCATAGACGTGGATTGGACTCGGTACTTACGGACAACGACGAACGATTGCTTCAGTCTGGAGTCGCTTTTCTCTTCATTTTCCAGGGTCGCGTAAGAGGTGGACAAATGGCTTAGCAGCTGAAAGGCTGGCAGATCACGAAGTTGGGCAATTACTCAGAATCGTCTTGTGGGCTGTCTTCGAAATGTTCAACCTTCGGATGTGAATTCGTGCTGGAACGGGATCGCCACATCTTTGCACAGCGCCTAACGGAAGTTTGTCTGTGTCACTGTGCTACCAGGTCCGCTTAAGCACTGGATATCAAACAGAAGTACCGCATGTTTGAACCTTGAAGAAATGTTCCTGCTTGTACCGACTACAATTCAGCACCACGTATTATCATACACGGAAGCCTAAGGAACGCCCAAGGGAACGGTCGAAGATTTTTGCAGTTGGTCCGTGCGTCCGGACCCCTGTAAACCGCCTGTGCCTGAGGTAATTGAGGATCATAGCGACGGGGCTTTCTTGACTGAAGAAGGACGCCTCGATTGCTGGGTCGAGGACTTTGAACAAGTTTCGTGGCTACCTGCTGCCTAGAATATGCAGAGGACATCGTTCTCGTCTTCGAAGAGTAGAAAAAGGTCCAAACGTTTTTGAATGAACCGGTTAAAGTCATCCCGTCCTTTGACATGCGCTTCGTTCCCAGAAAGTCTAGGTTATTACAATCCCTGCACACGCCACCCACAACCCAGGGAGAGGCATTCGAAGTTGTGGAGCTTTTTCACCCATATTGGGAGTTGTATAAGTTCCACTTATAGTGTGACGGACAAAAATGATGCACGAATCTGAAACGCTCGGGTTGCGTTTCATAATTTGAGACACCTATGGCGTCAGGGTGTCTCAGGTTGCAATATTGGTTGTTTTGGTGTATGGCTGTAAGACTTGGCCTGTTCGAGCAGCGGAACTGAGACGTCTTCAAGACTTCGACAACGAGAACCATAGCTGATGTAAGTTAGTTTCGTTGTGGAAGTTTGAAAATGAGGGCTCGGTTGTGCAACGGCGACTTCCATTGAAGAATGTGTCCAGCACCAGAGGGTGTGGTGATTAGGCTGCGTATTGCGCATTGCGAACCATCGTTTGCTTACAATAGTTCTGTTTTCCGTGCCAAACTCAAATTGACACATGCAGGGAGACGGTTGACCCTTAACCTGACAGGGGGAAATGAAATCGATTACGAAATGTTTGGTTGTTGTCGGTGCAGTTCGATTTATTGGATGGGCACCTACCGCAGTGAAGCACCAGTGTTGAACACTGATGTTGATGGTAACAAAAATTTGAAAAGAATTCGACTATTTACTATCGCCCACTCATTTCCGTCTACCGGGCTTTTCTTAGTCACCAGTTATTCTGACCATTCTTAAGACTGCGGGCTAAGTACCCTTTCAAAGATCTTCCTGAACTGTATTGTTGACTCGGCAGGATCACATTTTTTTTGTCTCGATCGGGGTTAGGTATGCCGGTGAGATCCAACTTGAATTTGACGGTGAATTCGTTTTCTGACCCACAGCCTAACGCCGAATTCATGGAGTGTCAAACCAGTCTTCGTTTTCCCGATCGGTTTGTTTCATGTTCTTGGGTTGTCTAGACAGCTAATGCTGGTAGACACATCTGACGACCAAATCTTGCAGGCAGTGAATATCGTGTGGCTGATTGGTTTTCGCCTTGGTCACTGCGAGACTAGCTGCAACAGGGGCGCAAACCAAGGCATTATCTGACTCCGTACACGTGCTCGAAAAGGGACAACCTTCTTGAACACAAGTTCATCGTCTATAACTGATTGCCATGTGGTCAGTCTGGGCGCTCGAGTAGCTACGGTCGGGAGGATTCCATGCGATGCAATGTTCATGTTTATACTGGAAGTTTATGCTTACGACAAATCGGCAGTGTTCAATGCACGGTTATATGGAGGGATAACCGTTATTGGTTCTGGGAGCATGTACACCAATTCTTTCGTCGAAGCTGCTTTCATACACAGGTTAAAATTCTGGTGATTAATGATACTGTATCAAAACCAAACTTGGTTGTATCTCGGAACAATTCTTGACTTCCCCACTTCACCAAAAATTTGTCTGCGTTACGAACGTTGTAGGACTATCACTAGCCATGAGGTTGCGTGCGTCTATAAAGTCGGACACAAGAGTTGGAGTGAATGTTGTACCAGTGAAGCATCAGTGTGAACGCCAGTGTTGCTGTCTTTGATAATGATGGTGTTCCACCCCCCACCCCCCAAATGCATAGTCTACTCTTGGGTCATTTCGCAACATCGTCGTGGACGATAAATGTCTTTGTATTGTTGTGGATGCAGAATAGGTTTACGTCGAAGATTATTGCGGTGCGATTAAACCAATAAAGGACTAGGAGGGGGGTTTGCTGATCATTTGTTGTATATATACGGTCAGCGCTTTCTCCACAAGAATTCTTCTGGATCCTACTATCTAGAATGTTTGTATCGTTCCTGTTTATACGGGACCCTTTCGCTAGGAGTGTGGGGTGTTATACCATATCCAGATTGCGTGAAATTTAGCCACCATCGGTCCTCAGATGTTCGGCATCTCGACTCTGAATGGCTTTCTTGTTATTGCTCGCTTTCGTCGCTTTTCCTCCCTTCTCCAGCATTCATCCAGGAGACATCTATCCATACATGCGAAAACCACTGTTCCTCGTTGTGGACAGTGATAATAGCACTGCATTTCGTGTAAGTTTTTTTCCTGAACCACGGTTTTTCTGTTCCGTTTTCACATATTTCTTCAATCGCTCTCCCATAAGACCGTCGGTATCATGGACTTCGGTGTTGTGTGTAGTTGATACGTGTTTGGAGTTCTACCAACCAGACGTGTTTGGGTTAAGTTCGCTTGGACGATACTTTTTACCAGCGCATGGAAGAATATTACTAGAACTGAATAGTTGCTTCGTTCCGGTTCTTGCGCATCAGAATAATGCATTCTCGAGAGTCGCCGGATTCTCTGAAACCATTTCTGTTACCCACTATTTAGCGATGTGTATAGCCAGTTGGATTACTTTTGTTTCCGCCGACGCTATAAACGATCTTCATTTCTAAAGCTAAGACTTAATATCGCGCTACGATGAAGCCTGGTAATATGCCCTGTGCAACTTCTGAATCAGATGAGGACCATTCCTTTGTGGACTCCACATATCCGACTTAGTGAATCTGTAATGTGTTTTGGTTCTGTGTGAGCAAAATATTGCATGCACCATCGATATGGGCCGTGCCACAGTGTAGTGGATCTATATCGACGGAAATACTGCGTACGTCTGTCGTGGCCCCTACTTCGGCTAGAGGTAATAAGTAATCGCATATTGTACAGTCGTCAGCCGCAAGCGTTTACCTATCGTTTTAGGCGGCGTGGTCGAAGGGGAGTATAATCATAAAGCTGGGTGTTGGCAAATCCGATATAAAACTGACATAACAGTTGACGTTCGATCGTGCTCCTTCCAAGTTGACAGGATGGTGTGTCTTATTCGATCTGCTAGTCATTTGGATTGTTGTACTTGTACCTGCAATAGCCAGCCGGTTGATTTCTAGTCAGCCGTGCTGATCTGTTAATTTGAGCTATGAAATGCACCAGTCACACTTTTGGTATCGGGCCATAATCGTCGAGCCCATCAGTGCTCGTGAAAGGCGCAACACTCCTCAGCAAGAATAAAACAGCTTTTCGGCGCAGATTCTGTTCACCTTTAAGTTGAAATTTCAATTAAAAAGTCTGTAAATGTTTCCTATTTAAAGCAAGGAAGTCGAACATCCGGTTCAGTATCCATTCGCATTCATTTAACTGTTGGTAGCACAAAGGAACTTCAATAGTCAATTTTTCGTATTTAGATGGCTCAATCGTTGGGCCATCATCCTAGTGTCGTGCTACCCATTGGTGAATGGAAGATCTTTGCATATAAATTCTTATTCCGCGTCGTAGAAAAACTGTGAAGCGAGTTCGATATTAGCCCATTGTAGCTGCAAAACAAAGTTGGAATTCGATCGTAGTTATCTTCAGTGGCGTCTTTTGGTGCGGCGCTGGTAATTTTTTTCACTGTCTGGCGGATAACCAACTTATCTCTGATTTGAGTTTCAGACACAGTTGTCGATAGTTTGCAGTTCGTTGTCCACTGATTCAAGCTCTAAGATAACCTGTTGCACCCTTTTTCTCACTATTTCACCTAAGTCATATTTAAACTTGTATTTTGTTGCGTTGTTTTCCCGCTGCTCATTACGGTAGAACTTTCCAAGCCTCTTTGGACAACCGTTCGTCTGCCTTCTCTCACCCGAAGTAGTCCCGGACAAATTGGAAAGTATGCGTCATCGGGGAAATGTTTTTACCCTATTCCTGCACTGCCCCATCACGGCATTCTGCTATATATGTGGACTGACCACCATTCAGTATAAGACATGGGATCGAGCTCAAGCCATCCTGGACTCATTCCTGACCGAGTGTTATCGCATCCTTACACGGTCCCGTAACTTGGGTATGTGGCCCTTTCGCAGCATAGCATTTGTTTGTTTTTCATGTTTTCTGTCGCGTTATCATCAACCTCCGTCAATGAACCAAGCACGCTTGTTAGTCATTTCGGAACTAATTAAGCCTTGTTTTGCAGCGTACGATGACGGTGTCCACGACATCATCGATCAGTGTGACTCAGCTGTACTTTGCAATAGTTACTGAAACGACTAGAAAGTGGTGCATCGTTCTTACCGAGAATCCGGTTCATGCACCCTGTCAGTCAGTGGTTTTAAGTTCACTTGGTGCAAGTGAAACTAGCCAGCTGGACTAGATCTCATGAAGTAATAAAAAATTGAGTGTACGCATCCCTCAAAGAGGGATACCGGAGGCAAAGCGAGATTTTCGGGGAAGTGGCGTTGCGCCTGATAGTCGTCGATGCGTTATGGCCTTTTTTATTGAGGTTACTGTAACTGGTATCGTATCGGATATATTGGACATGTACTTGTCAACTTTTTTTAGAAGATGTGTGGATGTATTTCCTTGATGGAACACCAATATGTTTGGTGAAAACTCTCTGACAGCCCATAATCGATTTCGCCCTTCGTAGAGCTATTCAAGGAGGCACAGTCCCCGAGTTCCCTATGTTTTACTTGACCACCAAACGGTACGTAGTTGACCAAACACACTTGAAAATGACATTCAGCTGGGATTCATTGGAAACTTACGTTAATACCAAGTGAATTTATTTCACCAATGTTCGGGTGTCTTGTAACTGATCCCGTTCATTTCACATTACAGGACCGAGCAAACGGGCAACACACAAACAGTGCTCGCTCGGGTCAGATGCCACTTCTGGTGCTATTAATTCTAAGAAATGTACCTGTAGTTCCACACACAAACAGTGCTCGCTCGAGTCAGATGCCACTTCTGGTGCTATTAATTCCTGGGTGGAACATATACCCCTTGGAAAAAGACCTCGAGATTAGTTAAGGCGCCACGTTACGGACCGGAAGGTCCATGGTTCATGCTTTTACCTCAGTATCGCAGCTGTTCTTGTCTAAGCTTGGGCCCTCAGTATCGCGGCTGTTCTTGTCTAAGCTTGGGCAACCTGGCAGTATCCCGGTCCTCGTGCCTCCTGAAGGTGGCACAGCAGCTAGGCACTGAAAGGACGCTACAGCTGAACATACTCCTTGTTACTTATGGCTCTGTGGATCTGGGCCATACTGCTCTCTTTTTGGTGCATTATTCTGAGCCTCACTATGCGTTACTGTAATTCACGACAGCCACTGAGTTAGGGTTGAAAGTGAGTAGAAATGCACTCAACTGTGTTGCTCGCGGTGTAAAAGTAGGCAAGGCTGTTGACTAATGATGTTGACACTTGCTAGCTCCGGAGTAAATATACTGACATCATCTCCGCTTCAACTATAGTGAATGATCGAAAGCTGTAAGTGCATGGGGTAGCGTATCCCAACCAGACCTAAAGATGTGCCGTGCATCTACTCAATCGTATCGATACAACCCCCAAAATGAACTGCCGTCATCAATCACACATTCATTATTTAAATTCACGAGCATTCAATGCCGATCCCTTTTTCAATGCATATCGGCATATGCACAGTGAATACTTTTGTAATAGGATGAGCAGGTCACATCCTGTATTAAGAGACACAGTCGCAATGCAAATAATTTTGGGACTGGTCGATTTCGCTCTCTTGGAAGCGTCCCCTTCTTCAAGGCATTCTCTTGGCTGTGCTTTGCTTGTTTCAGTGATTTCGTTCGTCGATCTCACTCCTTCAGGTTTGTGGACGGGGGGGGGGGGGACTTAGTGCTGGCTTACTTTAGTCATTCCGAGGTGCCCAAACCCCCAGACCTTTACTCAGGCAATCTGACAACATGAACGCCACTGACATCGGTTATTTACTCAGGCAATCTGACAACATGAACGACACTGACATCGGTTGGCAGCCATATCTTGTAGTGTCTTCAACCAGGCGCAGTGGGGATCACGTGGTCACCATCCTGGAAGACGAGTAGCACCGACAGCACCCAAGCGTTTCGTGATTTCCTTCATACCCCTGCCAAGTCAAGGGTTGGCCAACGATCCTATCGAAGTCCAGCCAACCGTATGCTTTGCTCAGATTTTAGATAATGAGCTTTTCACCGAGCGTCCATCTTGATATTCGACTAACCGACCCGTATTTCTTTCATCTATTCTTGTAATTTCAGATTACTCCTATATGCAGTTCCTGGTTGACGACTTTTTGCGACTGTTAGTTTTGCGGTATTGTTTTTGCAGCATAGTCCTCCAGTTTCATCGAGGCTTCACAGGTCCTTCATTCTACCCTTCTTGTTCCCCTTCGCTTCCGGAGTCGGAGATGATCAATTCTCCCTTGCTACATAAACTCGTGCTTGAGCTTGCCACATTACTGGAATGCAGGTCAATGTTCGCCACACCTGGTGAGTTTTGCACTGTTCCGCTCAGTAGTTCGCCGAGCTTGGCGGTTTTATTGCAAATATTTCATAGCCAGTGGAGATGAAGTCATCGTTGCGTAGTGGCGCGTCATTGTGTATGTTCATATGTGGCTTCACCATCTCCGTCACCTCAACCAGTAACTATCAACACATTTTCTGGAATATTCAAATCGACCGGGTTACTTTGGCAAGCTCAGTGCTCCTTGGTGTACTGTGTCTTGTCGCTAAATTGATTCTTGTTTACCCTTTGTGTTTTTGTTTTCAGTGTTTGACACTCCTTCGCTCATGTTTTTGGCTGTTGTGTAACAATTAAAGACCATAAAAACAGGTTGTAAAAGTGAACCTTGCGTGTAGGCCGCTGCCGTGCACATAATCATTTGGGTATCTTTTTCTCTTCGCTGGGTTCACCTCTTAATTCAGCTAGTCCCCTATCACGTGATACAGTGTCAGCTGACTCCTCGACTTTTATTGCTGGATGGATTGATGAAAGGAGCATTAGGGTTCATTATTCGGAATTTGTATGCGAAGCTTCTCGACGACCACTTGTCCCGAAAATGTATCTGATGCTGCCACATGGTCAGTCATTATCTGGTGTGATTTTGCCTATCAACAGCGGATAAACTTTTGATCACTTCCCTGCCCTACAGCTGCCATTAAGATCTATTCGGAGCTTGTTGTGCTGTTGTATTTATTTCATCTATTCCCAACAGATTTGAGAATACAAGTTTGCGAGTGGTCTTTTTCACTTGAGTCCCACCAGGCAACTACAGCTGAGCTTAGAATATTATACTGTATACCCTAATACTTGGTATTAAGTGAGGAAAGTAGTGTTGTTCTGTGCACATTAGCTGAGTTCCTACTGATTGATCAACGTGGCCTCACTGAAGGTAGTAATTTCGAGTTGACATTGCATAGAGATCGAATGCAGTGCGCGATGCTTATCGGAAATTGACTTCTCCCGTTGGTAACAGCAGGATTAGTTGGGTGGCACATAATATGTGCTGTTTTAATTAGAATCTGATAGTAATTTCTCCCCTTTTTATTGGATTCCCACTTAGGCTGTAGCGTGCTGTGGGAATTGATAGATTTCTCTAGATAGCCTTTGGAAATCAGTGATTCTCAATTGAACTTTTTCCGGAGGAAGTTAGGAGTAAAAATACTTCCGGTTCGCAACAATTTCTCTAAGCTGAAGGACTAAAACTGGAAAACTGTGAATATTGCTATCTGGGAGTCTAACGATAGAAAGCATCTAAATCTGCGAGGTTATTTTCAGTTTCTGCCTCAAGCTACTGAGGGGTTTGAATCTGGATCTTCATTGAATCGTGTAGGTTTTTGAAGTGATTGCAGTCTGCGGAAATTAAATTTTCTCTCGCATATCCGGAGATGGTCATAGAGCTCTCTTTCATTCGTACCCAAAAATTCATGAAATCTTTTAATAAATGTTAAAACAGGCTACCTATTGCCACGCCATCAGTCTGTATTCCTTGCGTTTGAATTTTAAGCCACTGTTTTCCGTGCGTAAGGAAGGAACACGTGATGTTTCTGCAGTTCGCATAGATTCTGGACCAGTTTTCAGCAAGGTCACGAGAATTTTTTCACAAGATAGGTGTTATCAACTGTTTAGTAATCAATTGCGTTTGTACCGGACTGTACAACACTTAAGTTTTATTATCGTGCCAAAGTTTTTCACGTGTATTTCTCTAGGACATATGAGAGGACCGCACTTTTACATGATTGACAGCGTGACGAATCTTGACTGAAATGAAGTCCGTGATCCATTCTGGACACGGTTTTACAGACCGTTTCCCTCATCGATTGACGATGACAGATGATAGTTTCCTGTCAATGGATCTAAGAACATTGTCGCACGAAAGAAGTTCGCCTTCGCACACAACACTGGTTACTGTTGCGTGCTAATAGTAGTTGTTTCTTTTGTGTTATGTGCAACTGTTCCTCGCCGTCACCGATCACCTGCTTTTCTGTTTACAGACAACTACGCGAAAGACTGATTCAGACCGTCGACAACTTCCCACCACCCACCAGATGTGAGACTACTACTATTTTACTTACTATCCAGAGCCAATTACCAAAGAGCATCAGAACACCGGGCTACCGAATCGCCATTCCCATTTTCGTGTTCTTTGTTTCTTTCTCACCTGCCGCCCTGCTCGAAGAACCTCTTGTGATTTATTTTCTAAAGCTCCATTGGAACCCTGTATCCGTTTCATTCCTTAGCTGCTTCTGTCGCAGTTCCCGGTTCAGATGAGGTCGGTAGGATAAATAATCAAGCATTTGAAAGGTCACACGCACACAGAGTGCACATGACCCTCACGTTCTTGTTGCATTTGGTTTCTTTTGCTGCATTTTTTAACTTTTACTACTACAACGATTCCAACACCATAGTCTCCTTCTTCCTGTCTTCCTGGTTATTTCTGTTGTCCAAATTTTCTTTCACCCCTTGCGGCCTACCTCTGTGGTGCAGTCCGCATCTTCTTGTCTGATGCCACTGTCGCACGGGTGACAACAGCTCATGTTTCCAGGCTATTCATCACGTCGTCCTGCTTCCACCTTTCACTGTCCTTCCTGGAATCGGGATTATTGAGAAAACTAGTCGTCACTACAAAAACTCGTATATCCATATACATAGATTTCCTGTTACTCCTGAGTCTTTTGTTTCAAGGTTAGTACTTTGGCGAGAGAACTGGGTTTAGAAGCCCTGACAAATTTAAGATATACTTTTGCATGAGATTACGTTGTCGTATAAGATTGTCTGGACAGGTATTCCTCTTTTTGGTGTAGCGTTCTCCCGAAAAGTGTGCTTACGTTGTTTACAGTAACATTAGGAGCACCGAGGAATTCACAGACGGTTTTCAAAACCTGTAGATCGCATGTCAGAAAGCCATCTGTTTTGCTGAGCCCTGTACTGAACGTAAGCAACACAGGCGGATATTTTTTGACCTAGTAGTGAAGTATCAAAGCAGAAAACTCAGTCGTATTGAGTACTGTGACTTCCTAGCCTGGAAACCCAAGACTCAACATGTTAATGGTTATTGACACTGGTAGATGTGGCTCAATCGCGTAGTCAGTGGCGCTTGTGCATCAAAGTTCTCGCCTTCATAGCGTAACGGCCCAGTTTCCCGTGTGTGATCCGACATCAGTTGGTTGATTATATCACTGCGATTCTTGGTTATATCTTCCATGCTTCACAGTCATCTTCGTCACAGCATGATGTCAGTGTTTCCAAACCCGATGGTTTACTTCCGTACAACCATGATTTATTTGAAGGCCTTATTGTGAAGAAAAGAATACTGGTGGACGGGGAACTTTAGAAGCTGGAATCTGGACACATGGTTTGTGGGTGATAAAATTAAGTGAACTGAATAAGCTAGGCTATTTATCCACCCAATGTGTGGGAATCCATTCAGTACAACACTGAACTTAGAAAGGATGCTTCCAATACATACAGACGACATACATACATGCGACATTACAGCATTCCCTCCACTAAGAAGCTCCTCCCAACCATAGTGACCCCCCTTTCCTAAAGTGGCGGAAGTTGCATTCCCAGAAATGTCTTCGTGTGAGTTACGAAGTCCTGCATGTGACCATTTACTGGCTAGTGCGACTTATGTCTGATTAATGCAAACCGGCTAACACCCACATTACCGCGCAGTCTGATAACTCTCAGACAATTTGCTCATTCCTTGTTTCTGGAGAATGTCATTCGTAGGTCGTGAAAATGCCATATCTGTCCGGCTAGTTAGACACTCAGATTGCCACTGCGGTGGTTATGCTTCAAGTAGTTGTTTACTAAGACGGCCCATAACGTGCACTATTCACAGTCTGATTTTGCCCTGTGTTCCCTTGTGAGGAAAGTTCTTTTGAGTATTTCGCACAAAAAGTTGAAACAGCGGAAGTCGTCTCCAGTGAGGTTCCCCTCAAAAAGAAAGCACCATGTTTACAGTACGGCATGCTCCATGGAAGGTGTTGGTGACCCCTGGACATGTACAGGTGTCAAGGTCATCTTTTCAATCATGTGATAGGACCTGGGCTTGCTACAACACGTTTGGATTCGGAACAACATGACAGTGAAGGCGACAGCGCTGGACTCCTCACAATGAAGTGTTTTCCGTTGATAGGACGTGGTGAGAGAGTAGAGGACAAGCTGTTTACCTACACTGCTTTCGACCTGGATTGCTGTGGCATGGTAGTAGCCAGAATTTGAGCGTGCAGTACGAAATGCCTTATGAGTTGGTAACACTGTACTACAAACTTGTTCCCACATGCGTAAGTGGTCAGTTTTCCCCACAGTGTACCCATGCTGACTACCTTTGATTGGAATTCCCTTCAGACCACATTTGAACCGGTCTGCCAATAGTGGAACGGCTACTTTACATCATAAGTCAATCAAGCCGACAATCTCTTCGGAATGGTTTTAGTATGAGCTTTAGCAAAGACGAAGTAAGCGGTTGCAAATCATTAGACAATAAAGCAAACATTTCAGCTGCACGGAGTTAGTGAAAAGTGAACATACTCAAGCGTCCTGTTAGACCTTCTTGGACGTTCATTGAATACTAAACAGTGGTGAATGAACACTGCAAATTGTTTCCATAATATCTATGATGGGCTTCACCCTCCATCGGATGCGGGAGCGGAGCTTGGGCATCTTATCATAGATCGTTTGCATACTTCGTTAATAGCACAAACCATTACATGGGTAGTGGTCTAGAACGACGAAGAGACTGCAATTACTCGCTCATGCTAAACGAACAAGTCAAGCATCTCATCAAAGATCGTTTGCACGCTTCGTTAATAGCACAAACCGTTACATGGGTAGTGGTCTAGAATGACGAAGAGACTGCGATTACTCGCTCATGCTAAACGAACAAGTCAGTAGCTGATGAAGCCTACCCAGTAGCAATCCGGCACGCATGGGGCTAACGATTAGCAGTTACGGTGATAAGGCGCCTTGATGTTTGTCAAACAAACACTTCGGGTGCAAAATGAACTCTAATTTCGGGTATAACCGCCTCCTGTATTGCTGTTCAATGCGGTCCTTTATATCATCAAATTCAAAAGATTTTGTGAGTATCAAAAAATGGTTTACTGGTCTTCCTATCTGATGGTTCAACATACCTAGACCTAATAACGGTGTCTTGATGACAAAGCACTAATCATTCACATGTAATTCAATGTTCCCGAATCAAGTGAATCGATTTTTGTGTCGATCTGATTCGAAGAACAAGCGAATATCCGTCTAACCGATCCCCCCTAATCAGGACCATAAACTCAATACTGGTGGTGTATATAGTCCAAAAATGAAAGGCTCATACCATAAAACACTAACCAATCGCCAGAATTTATTGAATAAACTTTTGATAGAACTCGAAAATTTCTCTCCCTGTTGTCGGATAGGTGTGCTGTGCTGCGACAACAATATACACAATGTTCTTCGGTCGCTGTCTGCTGTTTCCTTTGACTGGTGACATTCCAAATGTTTTATGGACATCGAAATAAGAACGCCCTAAATTTTTCCCTGAGTGGGGCATCCACATTAAAAGTGTTTTGTCACCAATTTAGCTGAAACCATCAGTGCGTGGTGGTGTAGCGGTTTCGCGGAGCATTGTTGTGCAGGCCTACGCAGGTAGTGCGTACCAACCGAAACAGCTCTGCCGTAAAATTCGATGTAGTTTTCGATAGCATCAATTTACTACCAGGAAATTACTTCCTCACCGATTACATCTTCGAGTAGTCGAAACGTATACTCCCTCAAGATACTCAGTTGTCTCCACTCCCAATTTACGAACGAGTTTTTTCATCTCCATAGAGGTGTTCAGGTACAAAATAAGGCTGTGATGAAAATTTGACAACGAGTCCTAAAAAGGGACGAAACTGGTTGTCGGGTGTACTGTATCGTTCAGCAACTTCATGAAGAAAATCTTTCAACACCTACGAATTCTTCATCCAGAGCATGCATATTGCAAACAGAACCGTTCGCGCTGGATGTTTTACACAGTCAGTTTACTGCTAGGGAGCACTCGAATTGGCTGACCCGAATGACAGCTAAAGTTAGCAAAACCTTCTAAGTACACAACGAATAAAATCAGTAAACTGTTTAACGTTTTACCGTTTCAGCCATCTTAGCGGCACTCCGTTTCTAAGTCACCCTAAAAATGCCTTTGAATGTCTAGTAGCTTGGGAGGTCGATCAATAAATGGGAATTCCGGAGAATTCTGTTGAAATTCTCGGCTCACACGACCACAGTAAGTGTTCACCCAGTTAATCATATATCGGTGCTGTGATTTTAATGGATTTTTTTTACACCATGTGTATGAAAAGGTCCTGAAGGTATGGCTCTGTTGGATTGTCTGAATTTCATGAGAATTTGATGAGAGGCAACGGTCCTGAAATAATGAGTGTGCCACGACTAGATATCAGGAGGTTACTGAGAACTCTTTGATACTACAGGACCGGTTTTGCCCTTCTTGAGATGTATCAGGCAGTCGCAGCCCTTAATTTTCCACCAACCTTTTTTTCTACATAAAAGCAAGAATCCCTGTCGATATTTTTGACAATAGGCAAACAAAGTACAGCTTTACTTACGTTGGAGAAAAAGTGGGGACTGAGAATGTTCCATCCTTGGATCTGTACTTATGAAGACATCATTTTCAAACTATTCAAGTCTATTTGACTGACGATGAGGTTACCAAATCCACCACCACCTGTTTCCAGAATCATAGCACCAGTTCAGTTGGACAGATGGCGTATATGTTTTTCACAACAGGCTGTTACCTTTGGTCGACGGTCACAACCTTTTCACATCGCTATCCTTTGAGATAACTTTCCTGGATCCTGGTGTAAATGTAAAAAAGAACTAAACCGCTAACCAATTTGGTTTCCACAGGAGGTTCAGCTAATTCTTTCTTCAACTGAATGTGCTGCTCAAAAGCCGCCCCATGTTTTAGGGGTAAGACTTTTGAGATATCGTAATAAATATTCTCATTAAGGAAGAATAACACAAGCAATAATTCCCCCCGTGAAAATCAAATCGATATCCGAACGAGAATATTTGTTGAAATCTACCCATTCTGGTTACAAATAGGACATAAGGCTGGCGGAAAGTAGGAGACTGTGGCTAAATGGTGAGCCCCAGAAAGAACGCAACCGATCATGGACTGTCGAACAGTTTTCAGCAACCTTTTGAGTGGCCTACTTCATGAAAATAAACCGCTCGATATTCGTCTGCGTTTCTCGGCAACCTGTGCTCTCCAATTCTGGTGTGAAGAACCCTGATCGTCTGCCCAATATAGCGTTGCATTTGTAGACAATCCCTGGTTCTGTTCGCTGGGAGGCGATTCTTAAATTGCACCAATGCATAGTGCAGTGTTTCCATTCTGGAATGATACTCTTATGTCAGCCCTGTTTGGTATCCTTCGAATAACTTCCGACGTCTCTGTTTTATCTGAACTAACAGCAGTTCCAATCCATTCTTCAGAATCGGAGGGCACAGGATAATAATAAACAGGCCGCCAAGGAACACAGACGAATATCGAGTGTTACTGAAACGCTCAGCAATGACGGGAATGCACTGGACACGGGATACAAAATAGATAAGGAAAATGTTGACCTTTTGAGGCGGGGACTACAGTTCACGCCACAAACACTGATGACCGAGGCGGTGGAAATCGCCGAAGACCCTATTGCAAATAGAATAGAATAGGTGTGGAATTGGCAAGCGTGTGGAGAACGGCTTTTGATCAGTCGAGCTGACACCTGTTGGTGTGCGGTTATCGGAAAGAGGGGTTATCACTAGACGTAGCTTGTATCCAAAGTGCACTTAATCTCGCGAATGTACACTCATTTGCAAACTGATTTGGTTTTTCGAGAGACTCATCTGCACTTGATCTCACCCACCCACCCATCCCCTCTCGCTAAATTATCGTAGCACTTACAAGCCCACACGAGCGAGCAAGGTGAATCATCAAGTGAAGAAACTTGAACCGGAAGACTAAGGAACCAAACGCGAGCAAAGTAATTCGAAAGCCCCCAACTGTAAGTTTTAGACAACCACGCCAACTGACATCCAAGAATGAGCTAGTGTGCTAATCTGAAGCGGCCTTGTTGAGTGGTTCTCCGTCTACTTTCGAAAAAACATGGCCGAACTGGTGACCTGCTCACTCGGCTTGATGAAGCTTTTGTGTCAGAAGCGAAACGTCATCCAGTTGAAAACTACCGATTTTCCACAAAGCTCTTCTGAAACCATACTGTTCTATGTTCACATCCAAGTTGCGGTTAACGCTTCTCTAGCCTGTCAACTATCTTTTACGCGAGTGGCATCTGTCGTAGTCCCCATGAATTTCTGCGGCCATTGACGATCAACTGAAGTAGGAATGAGGAGATATGTACATCATTCGACTCAGGGGAATGGTGGTAGTTTTACCAGAATTTTCAGACTTGCTTCAGATTAGTTATTTGGTTTATTGTCTTCAAATCACTCTGCGACAAAATGATAGAGATGATTATAGGTTTGTCATGAAAATAGGGGGAAATCACACATCGTTTGGTTTACTTGTTTTTTTTATCTAGTCACCATCCGGTCACCATCTTCTATACGATTCAACTAGCAGTAAGTTTACTTTTCGTAATGCTGGACTGGATTATCAACGTTAACTACTACTGTGGGCTATGGTACCGGAGTCTTAGATGGACTTACCCCCTCCATCAATGAGCTGAAGCAGAACAAACGTTGTAAACTGATGAAAACTGTTGGTAATATTAATCACGCATGTACAACCAAACGAAGTATTTTGTTATTTTCTTTCCCTTTTGCTCTGTGTTTTGAAGGGTTGTTGGAGGAAGCAAGGGGTGTGAAATTGACACTCGGCGCTGTCCGTCCATGCGTCAAACTTTCGGCCGGCGACTCGTTCCTGCCGCATTGCTCAAGTACTCGAACCACCTATAGATGGGAAAGAGTGTGAAAGTTGAATCTTCAGTGATCTTTTTTCTAGCTACAATTCCATGCATCAGGGTGATGTACAGTAAAAACAGTATCCTCCCACACAGCAACATCCTCAAGAAACAAAAGCATACGAACGATTTGCGTCGAAAACTTGTAGAAATTCTTCAGAAGTAAAAAATGTGTGACAGAATTGTGTTTTAGTATAGTGCTATCCTCAGCTTGGTTGCAAACAACAGATATGAAGAGAGCAATACAGTATTGAAGCATCAGTGTCAACACTGATGTTGCTGTCTTTGATGATCATGATGATGCGACAGCGGTTATATAATCCGGGAGAAATGACAATGCTGTCTATCGACCATTGGAACCGTTTAGAAACTCCACGTACTAGTGAAAGACAAAGTGCAGCAGTTCCTGCTTGGTTTCCATGATTCTGGGTTACATCATCCGCAGGTATAACTCTGACTGACCTGAGAAAGTGTTGGCTGTGCAGATTCATTCTATGGGGATTTCGATAGGCGATCAAACAAGTTAGAGGCAGTCAAAATACTGTGCCAGTTTGTGAATGTATAGAGGGGGGAGAAAAAATCTGAAAACCAAGACAATTCAAGTTTAAACATTACATGGCTTGGTGTCTGTGTGCATGTTGATTAGTATATTACTTTCCTCAGAAAGGCAGATAATGTCAGGATTCCTCAGACGTAATGCAATTACCGTAATCGGATTATTCCATCAGGATAGAACAGATGGATCAAGTGAGTGATTTCGGTTTGAGAGTTTTGAGATTAATGTTATTTTAAGTAGGACTACTGGTTAGTTCTAGTGTCCAGATGACACATGCTGACCTCCAAAAAGAGTCTGTACAGCAAGTTCTAGTGCCAAAAGTGATATATCACTATATATATCACTATATATATCACTATATCACTTCGTTCCACACAAATTATTTCCAAAGGATACCACTTTCCCATGTGAAGGTTCCATTGGACCATTCCGCTACCGTTCATTTAGCTGTTTTTGATATATCTCATATCACTATATCACTTCGTTCCACACAAATTATTTCAAAAGAATACCACTTTCCCATGTGAAGGTTCCATTGGACCATTCCGCTACCGTTCATTTAGCTGTTTTTCATATAAAAAGCACTTGATACCAGCAGGAAGGATGTAAGTAAACAAGTGTTTGGTTTGGAGGAGGTTAGCTTAACGGCACAAGTGATCTGCTTTTGAGTAAAAAAACATTAAAAACGTAACCAAACAGCACTTTGTATTTGGAATGACAGGAGTTGTCATTCCCAATACTCAGTTCATTAGCCGTCAAAAGTTTACTCCTTCACTGAATTCCGTACGGAACAGCAGTTAGGAACAGAACCAATGACCTTTGATCTACTCGCTTCATCGTGGGCCGATCTAAGCTGGGTTACATCAGGACACATCCTGGACCGTCCGTCAAGCTCACAGCATAGCTTACGGTTCAACATCCTCCTGCCCGTGTACACCATTCCATTTGGTGTGGTGTGAAATTTGTTTCGGTGAATTTGTGGTCCAACCGTGAGTCAAGCGCTTTCACCCGGCACTCTCAATTGGTCAGATACGGGTGTTCTCCACATTTGCTGAACGTCTTGGGTTCGTTTTCGTGTCTGCTAGGGACTTTTAGCAATAAGGCTCCTGTGACCTACTATCTTGATATCCGTCAAGTCTAGACAGTTTGGCTGTCCAGAAAACTCTCAGTAAACACTAAGCCTGCAAGTGGTTTTTAAGTCAAACAACCTGACGCGTGGTCAGTACTTATGCTAAAAACCGTTCGCGAGGGAAGTCCTACCCTTATGAGAGGATTTCTTTTTTGAGGAGAACAGCGTCTTTGTCCAACTGTGTCTGGGAGAAATGTCTTGGATTCACCGGGTACGTATTCCATCAATCAGACGTCGTTACCTATGTAGCTGTAAGCCCTTCGTTGTCTCACTGATGTCTTTGTTATTAGTTCTTTGCAGCATAATAGCAACTTCTGACACAGCAGAGATCCCGGGGTGACAATGCGCAAGCTGCCAAGACAGTCGTCATACAATCAACCTGAATAGACCTGAATTAGTCCATTCTGGAAGCCTATAGAAATATAGAAAGCTGGAAAGATTCGAAATGTTTCCAAGGTTCGAAAATTTCCTGAACGGGGGGATCAGTGACGAGCAATGCTCCTGTGAAAGATTCGCCGCGTCGTACAGAAGAATGCCAAAACAGCTGGATTTCCTTTGAGATTTGAGGATGAAGGTATTTCTGTCCTGTTCGTGGTCTCACGAAGCCAACAACATCCTCGATTACTTGCGAATAGGCCAGTATTCGAAAATTGCCTGATCCTTGTGTTGTCCAAGCATTTCCAGAATACCAGCAGTCAATTTTTCAACTGTGACTTTCCGCATTCCGGCAAGCACGAATTGGGAGGTTTTGGCTACGAACAAGTAACGAACGACACAGATACCCGTAAAAGGATCCATAGCATGCTCAATAGGTAAGTACGATCATCAGCAGCGTTGGTTTTGCGTTGCTAATCTGAGCCAACCTCAGTGAGAGTAACACTATCGGTGAACATCCGTGCTGCTTCGCGCTCCTGTTGTTGGGTCACATGAAAAGCCATGGTCCTACATATAGCAGATAAGGTTGTTGGTCTTGCAGTGACATGTCAGAAGCAAAGCTGGCAACACAACTGGTAACAAGTTCGACTAAAATAACCCAATAGAGACAAGCGAAAATCCGAATAACATTAGGACTTGAATTGTAACCTAAACAGCCGCTGTGACACCGAGCACAGCAGTCTGCTCATACAGTCGCCCTCCCATGAACAGCTTACCTGAAAGAACACACCAAAAGTTACTACTTATCGACCATATGGAGCATGCATTTGATGTCTTGTTCTCCGATAATGACCATTGATGTATACCATATTCCTGGAGGTGGGGAGCGAAATGCTAATAAAGCCACGCTGATTTGCAGTCAGACCCACAACCTCAAAGACACAAGCCATGTCGTTAGTGATGTTCAGTGGTCTACTGGGAATTGGCAATGAGGTAAGGAGGAGTTGAGGAGTGACGCTCATTATGTAATAAAGTCCTTAAACCGGCTGGTTGACGAGTCCATTGATCTAGTGTGGTTTATAACCTTTCTTTTTTAACAATGACGTATACTAGAGAACAGAAAGACGAAACTGAGTGTGTTAGAACAAAGAGTAGCTAAAATACACATACATAATGGTACTTGATGAGTCACTGTCTTGTTAGCTACAGGACACTGGACCTCGCAAGTGCTCAATTTGTTCGGGACTATGGAAAGCCACATGCAGCGAAAAAGCGGTTACACTACCCGGAGAACATCTAGTGTGAATGACGACAAGCGTTCGCCTGTCTGGCGATTCAGTTGTCATTGATGAACGAGAGAAATTCTCTGATGAAAACTTCAGTCAGGATGACTTGGGTGGTTTGGTGTGGCAGTGGGATGATTGGGTATCCAATAAAGGTAACTACGGTTGTGGCTCTCTTACGGTCTAGGTAACAACCTTTTGTGGAAATATTCAGGCAGTGATAGGAAACAGCAAAATTCCATACACTCAGAGACCTGTATCTATCTTGTGTGGCTGACAGAAGATTGCGATACTCTCATGCCATAGTGACAACGTTTGCTCGGCCTACCTTGCAAATTCACAGCACAAACTAGATACTACCTGAAGTTTCGTCAAACTCGTTTTCGGACCTTTGGAAGTCGCTTGATGGAGTCATTCGTTGGACTCAAAAAGGTGAACGGTTACTAAAGAGCAATCATTCGAAGATAAGCAGCACAGTTTGCTTGCTTTCCACCACATGTCACACTATAACCTTGGGGAAAACGAAGCCAGCCTTCGATGGGAAAACCCATAGAAATACTAGAGCAATTTAACAGTCCTTATGCAGCAGCAGGCAGGTGTACTGAATTTCACTGTTTTGCACGTCTGAGTATTGCGGAAGCAAGCCCTGGAACTTTTGACTGACAGAAGTGAACTTCTGGTGGAACGAACATCACAATCGCATGTACTCAGCACTTTAGCAACCAATCTGGTAGGACGTAGCGGTTCGTTTGAAACTCCAAACTCCTTGCAACCTAACTACCACCAGTGAACATGGGAATACGCATGTTGCATCTCATACAGCTGTAAGTTACTATTCAAAATACAATTACAGATTTGCTATTTTTATCAACTTCACTTTTTGTAAACTTTGTCCAAATTCTGTCACAGTGTCCCTCAAGAATCGATTGAATAAAGATTTAATGAAATTTCATGCTTATCAACGAAATCAGGAAATATATGACCACTGGCATAGTTCCCCGTTCTTCCCCTGGATCATCCCGTCGCCAAGTTGTAAAAATTACTCTTAGTTTAGCACAAAAAATGCGGAATATTCCACACAACCTGGCTTAAGGATAGATCATTTGTAGACGGCGCTATCCAGCTGCACTGATTTTATTTTATTTTAGAGGACTTGATGAATCGATTTCAGTAGCATGAACCAGTTGATGTCCTCAAAGCTGAAAGGTAAGCGGTCGAATTTTACGCAAACATCATGGTAGGAACGGCGTTCTACAGTTTGGGTCCTAGACTAATCTTTCAATTCAATAGGGCCTCGCTACAGCTTGACCATTATTCACCCAAAATTTTCAATAATGTGCCCACAGCATGCCAGCGACATCCAGCATATTCTCTCCCTTAAAGGTGATTTTGATGAGAATACCTATTCCAAAAACTAAGACTATCGTTTATCTAAATGTTTCTTGTGGAGTGGATGGCTAAAAGCCAATAAAGGCGATGGTAGTGGTTCTTAACCAATAAGGGGAAGTTTTGAGATTATAACGAGGAATGAGGACCACAGATTTGAATGCTTAGGCCTCCCCTGCATTGGTTTTGAATCAATTGCAACTTGTGCTTAATCCCTGGGACTACGCAGACACGGATTTTTCGTCGTTAACTGCAATGTCCTGAAAATTACTCAGGTTGGCTAAATGGAACTAAGTGTACAGTGAAAGGCATGGGCGAACACGACTGATCCACGGCTCTCGGGAGGAAAAGGGAAACTAAGAAACTTGATAAATATCAGGTGATCAAAAAGCCAAGAAGTCGAGAAAAACTGCTATGCTACAACTGTGTTTAGAATATTTTTGGGGTGGAATGTGAATCCTATATCAAAATAATAGTCAAAGGGTTCCAGTGTGAGGAGAAATATTCTTCTCGATCATTTTAAGCACTCAGGTGGTCAACAAAGCAGAAGGGGTATGATCTTGTTCAATATTTTGGAAAGGCGAACAAAGTTTAGGGGACTAAAGACCACTGGGCTTTGGCATTCTTTCGAGATGCGGCTGTTATTGAACCGATCGGCGGGATCTGGGAACAACACCTGGGCATTGCCTTCCTCGGGGGTCTGGTTTGAATTCTGAATATCTTTAGCAAACTTTGCTGCTGAGGTTCGAGTTGGTCTGGGATGAGTTTATAGATGATATCGGGATGAGAAGCACTACATAACTACTGATGGCTGTTTTGATAACACCCTCTCAGCTGTAAAGTAAATAACATGTTGAAATGAAGTTAATCTTGTCCGATGTGCTGCAAAACTACGAGAACGTCTCGAACAAAACTCACAAACTTCGAGAGAGAGAGACCAATCGTCAAGTCGATGGAGCGAAAAAATTGTAGAAAAGCATCAATACCAGTCAAGTGGATAAAGCAACACAGCCAGCTGAGGCTGGGTATTCAACTGTCACCTGGTGGTCACACCTAAACTGGTGCAAAGTGGTGCAAAGGCAAGCATTATTCAACGACTGGTCATTTGGCATACGGCTACACATCAAAGGGCATTCCGGATGCTTAGCTGAACTTCGAAGAGGGAATAACGATTGGTCTCGAAAAAAAAACAATTTCGTCCCGTCGACGGGTCGCACTCATGATAAAACACACACGATAGGTTGCCCCTTGGGGCCAACCACAATCCGCTTCTACAAAAACCATATCTCACTTCAGGTTTCACTAGCTTGGTGTTTATCACGTCCTTCATAAGGATTGTGAATGGTTCGGAATGCCCAACCGATTACCTTCAATATCCCTCAGAACAATTATTCCAAATAGAACATTGGGGAAGACCGTGACAAACACATATTAGACTTACCGTTCGAAAGAATGATGTGTTTCACCACGGAAAAAGTACACATGATTTTTGAACTGCATTTTGATCACATTATCCCGCTTGATCTGGTCACCGGCTGACGGAGTGGTGATTGTGTAACCCAGAAGGGGTAGGCTGGCAAGTGGACAGTCGTCTCGGTAGGTTTTGTAGAAGAACAGACAGTTTTGTGTGAAGACAACCCACAAGCGTTGCCAACCGTTGCTGTTCTTGAATTTCCGCAACAAATATCCACTTGTCTCGTACTTTTTTAAAAGCAAGTGGGAAAGAATGTTTCCAACAGATTAGGAGGGCACTACGGATGCCAACTGTTAGTGGTAGTCCATCTTTAATATACAAGTCCTCACCATTAATCAACTTTATTAGATAATGCATATGAGACAGGTCCAGCACGGGTATCATTTATTTTCCATCAAGTATACATCTCTAGATAAATATATTACGTTCGAGCTGGTTCAGCGGCTCAGGTCTGTGGTTCGAACCCGACCTCTGCATCTGGACTACTCCTGTCCAGGCTTGAGCGACCTGGAAGTATCTTGGCCCTTGTGCTTCTTTTGAGGGAATTAGCAGCTAGGTACCGAAAGGATGCTAAAATTCTCAATTTCCAGGCAACAGCATTTCCAGATGACAAAAAACAAGAAGGTTGGAGAAACCAGTGTGGACGGACGATTCGATAGAAAATCTAGTTGATTTGGTCAGGGTGGCCAAGTGGATGAGATCAGGGGGTTCCACTTGGGTGACCCAGGTTAGATCCCACATGGGCGCCTCATCATCCACGATCAAAGCTCATGAACTCGTACTGGCTTACGGTGGCATGATAACTCAGTGAATTTATCTTTCTCGATACTTGTCATTGGGTTCGAACCAAAAACGTATGCGGATGAATGACGGGATCAAAAACACAAACGTCACTGCTGCCTCACATTCGACCTTTTTTTAAATTGTGCTCAGTGCTTAATTACTCGATTCATGCAAGAAATGTGGGTGAAAAGAGTTCGACCAAACATGCTTGAAACCGTGGGCTTCTCACTTGGAAGTTACGTTAGAATGATGTGAAACGAAGATTTGTCATGATTCAGTCAAGTTTCCATTTTCAAGCCTCGAAAGAATGGGGAATACTGTAGGAGACAATTAAATTCTGAATTCAGCTCAATGTTTTTCTGAACTGAGTAGACACATAAAATACGGCCAGGTACAAATGTCCACTTTATGTAGTAGTTATTTCTGAAAGGAACCTATCGCAGACCACAGAATCACTATCAGGTCTACCCAGCCAGTGTAACAACTAAGGTTGGTATGGTATCTGCAGACAAAATAATAATAATAGTCGTTCAGCCGTAACACCCTTTCGGTGCTTAACTGCCATGCCACTCGAGGGCTGGGATACTTCCAGGTTCTCCAAACCTAGACAGGAGAAGTCGAGATTCCGGAGTTGGGTTCGAACCACGGACCTTCCAGTGAGTAAATTATCGCTCTAACCACCAAACCGTCTCGCAGATAATATTAGGCACGAGTTGATATTTTGGTCAAGCGCTTACCGATTTTCCTAAGTGCGGATTTATCTTCAATGAAGATTGATGATATTTGGTCCAAGGCTACTAGTGAACAAACAAAGGTCACCTGGTCTGGAGTGTACAGAATTCACGCAAACTGCTATCACTATGAGGAGTACTACTTACAGTGAAAATAATGGAAACTGATGTTTAGACAGGGGCCTTGTATTACTACCTACGATATTCTCTCTACCTCGTACTATCACGCCTATATGCCCAGGCAATATGTACTAAGATATCTCTGTGAGCAATCATGAAGGAACCATAATAGTTGTCTAGACGTATCATATTACTGATAAGGTTGCTGAAAACTCCTCGACATTCCGCTACTGGTTTCACCCTTCTTGGCGCTCATCACGTAGGTGCCATCCATGAGTTTTCGTCAACCTTATTTTCTAGCTGAACCCGAATTGGACAGATTTCGGCACACGAATTTGGTTTCGACAGGAGACTCAACTGAACCCAGCTATATCCCTCGTTTACCATGGTCTACTCCAAACGAATGTGTTGCACCAGGCTGCCTCGTATTTCAGTTGGCAAGATATTCCATATAACGCGATACGTTGTCGTCTACACGTAAAAATCGGGAACTATGCCTACCTGATGAACCCCAAGAAGGGCGAAACCGGTATTGGGCTGTCGAAGAGTTTTCAGCAATCTAATGAGTAGCGTGGCACGTCTAGACAACAAAGTATCGCGTTATCACGAATATCATACGAACTGAAGCATGAGGTGGCCTGGTGAAATATATTCGGTTGGAGCGGACCACCATAAATGGGGGATTCAGCCGGATTGAATTGAGTCTCCTGTTGTTGTGTCTTGTAGTGGTGGTCGAGCGAGCTAGTTACGCCTGCACTGAGCCTGCCAGACTACGCGATGGGGAGAAGACAGAGAACTGGGGACACGGCTGTATTGCCAGGACAAAAACGTACAGAGCCCCTGCGTAAATATATAGGATGACTAAACGGTCAAATATGGTCGTTCACTTGTTCGCTCCATACAGCCAATGGTGGCGTTCCGGTCGTGAACACTCTCAGGCCCACTACGCTGGTCGTGTGTTGCTAGGCCGTGTTTGGTGTGAGCTGCCGACTCACCTACTTCCCGGACGTGTCGAAGCGATGGTAATGGATGCGTCACTCTCTGCACATGTGCTTTTTCTTCTGTCTGGGAGCGCCCTGACACCTGTCAAAACCACATTCGTGTGCAAATGAGAGTATGTGTCGGAAACCATAGTATCTGCTTTGTAGAGGGTAGTTGGAAGGCGCACATGGCCGGAAATCGTTAGACATGTGTCAGGGGCGTCCATAGATGGTTGGTCCGTTGGCCTAGCTACAACTTTTTGACATACTGCTTACGACTTACGAGAGGGTAGTATATACCAATGTCATGTGCTTCAAACGCAATGTCAAACGAGCTCAAAATCATCATATCAGAACACCTGATTCTTTTGTGGCACTTCAAAATTCCACTTGGGAAGGAGGAACACCACCGTACAGTTTCACAGAGTATCCAAAACATTGACAAACGTCCACAGACAACATACTCCTGTTTGCGTACGGATCAATGGAGATGAATGTGTTTGCTTTGACCGATGAGTCGTGTTTATGTTGAAACAACTCCATATTTTCATAGTTAACACTAGATGGTGGGAAAAGTGGCGGTGATGTTATCCTCCAGACAGCATCTCAATGATCTAAACATTTTCGGTTGGCTAGATACGATCATGGAAAAATCAAATCATGTAAAAATGGGATTCGGTGTTGTTCCGATCGTGTGCGAAATTTTTGATTTGGCAGTATCAAACTCATTTGCCGAAACGTTCGGATAGTGGCTAGCATGGACAGGCCTCGATGGCAGGTTACGAAAACTTCACAGGTATAACACCATCAATAAATACACCGACGACAGCCGAACACTTTCACTTAGGAGCAGTAGAACACTTGGAGCTGTGTCCTATCGAAACTGTCAACTCGTTTAAAACGGCTTTTCTGTGGATTGATCTAACCTAAGGTTTGTCTGACTGTCCCTGGGTTAGCTGACTTAGCTGTGGGAAAGATGTTTGCCAGTAAGACGCTAAGCCACTTTCAAATGTTTGAATCCCTCACCCCTAAGGAGAAGACGGTAGTTTCCTGTCACTGGTATTCAGTGGGTTGATAAACATTTTCCTACTGAACCATACGCGCAAAAACGTAACTAAGCTGTGTTGGAATATGGATCTAAATTCAAAGTTTAAATTTACTACTCCACACGAACGTGATGTACGCTGAAATTTGAAAAAGCGCATAGAAGTAGGGTGGAGTGTCTGTGATCTTATCGGATGCCGCCGAAACCGGGGGCGCTTCCTAGGCTCAGAACTAAGTCTCCGGTATTTTGGAGGTCTTTCTAACCATTAAGTTGTGTGATTTAAAAGTAACCCAGCGATCTGATTCCATAAAACTGGAAGCAGATGGAAGGGCCGTGTAGCCAAGGCGAATTCTTCTAGATTGGCGAACCAATTGCAAACCAATTTGGTTATTCGAGAGACTCACCTGGAAATCTCTTGGTTTTGATGTTTCCAGGCAACTGAATGTGCTGCGCCAGACCACCTCATGTTTCAGTCGCTACGATATTCGAGATATCGCGATACATATATATTTTGTGAGGCACTACTCATGAGGTTGCTGAGGAGTTTTCAGCAACCTTATGAGTAGTGCATTACAAAATTCTTCTAGAGTTTCCACAAACCCACTGCAGCCAAGCATCTCGAATACAGTCAGTTTAGTTTCGGATGATTTAGTATCTATTGTGAGCAGTTTGAATGAAGATCTGAAAAAATGGGTCGTAATGCCCGGAGAATGCATTCGGAAGGTGAGTTCGCGCATGTCGAAAAAGCCTGGTGAGTGAAGTGGTTTAAATATGCATTTCGTGCCGTTGCGCAGTCCTTTAGTTCGCATCTGGGAGACCAAATGATGGCGCACCAATGCCGCATCTAGTCAGGGTAATTAATTACCCACCACCCCACCATCCATCCCGACAACTATACAGGCATGTCCTGAAATGCCAGCGACATGGACAAATGGGCAGGTGAGGTCATCGTCTAAAGTAATCTGCCACTGCTACAAAGCTCCTTCCTCGCATCCGCATGTGTCTAGGCCACATCGTCAAGTCAGGCCTCGTTTATTGAGACTACGATGAGAAGGGTAGCAACTATGCGGAGAGTGATCAAGGCATGACTCACTTCATGTCAGTAACTGGGACAGTGTCCGTCCCTGCCCTGGAGTTCCTGAGTCCCGTTGACGGGGCTAACGCCAGTTACCATGCCGCATAGAGCTGACAGTGCTGAGACTGGCATTGTTGTCAGCACCACCACAAGGGAGTGCAGACAGCGTAGTGCTATGCCGAACCACATTTATCCGCTAGCTACACACCGGTAACTTCACCTTGATGAGTGATGAAACATTTGCAAATAGGCTTGAGTTAGTTGGAAAAAGTGGAAGATCAAGGAACCAAACCCGATAATAATTAATTTGAAACTCCCCCAGTCCACCAGTGCAGGACTTTGATAACCACACTAACCGACAAGAGCCGCTGAATGACACTCAACACTGGTCTAGTGTGATAATCTGACTGGTTCCCCGTCTGGCTAATAACCTAGCCAGTTTGGTGACATGCTCAACTGGCCTGATGAAGCTTTTGTGTCAAAAGCGAAAGGTTGCCCAAACAAGCCCTTATGAAACGAGGTCTGAGTTGGGCTAGTCAGACCAACAACGCGGAGAACTGAACTATCAATGTCGGCCCTAGCTGCGGTGTTATCACAAGTACTAAGAAAAAGGGGCATTGAGCAGTTGATTTGTGGATTTGCGCCAGCTTGAGCATCAATCATGCAACACGTTAAGTTGCTCAGATGTTTTGTGGCTTTCGTATACACTTGGGCTCGGTCCCGGTTTCGGAGCTTCTCTCAACACAGGACAAAACTTTATTCATTCGTTGGTGTGCGGGTCGCTACAGTGAATTAACGTTCTGCATGAACTCAAAAGATCCATGGTCAGTTCAATCAGCTGACCATGTAGGTGGCCGAAATAGATACTGGGACGTGCTACCCCAACCAATGCTTCAGGACCGACTGAAGGAGGTTCCTGGGACTTGCAAAAAAGTGCTAATAAGATAAACAAAACTAACCCAATTGCCAAATGAGCCGTGTGTTATAAAAGCTTAACGGGTGCTGCATCCAGTGCGACAGTGTTTAAATGGGTTTTGTGAGTCAGTGCGGTTAACGATACCGTTGGAAATTTGCGGGTTTATTGGTATACACACGGGGATCAACAAGCTGGAGAAACACTGAAAAATATTCATTGGCGTAGCATAACAAGGGACAGATCTTGGTGGACGAAACATCGACTTCATCCAGACTATCTAGATCTGTCACGAAGAGACTGGACCTTACCGTGGTGTGACGGTTTGCGCACCTCAGCGATCCGGTCCCCGGAAACCACCTGTGAGTGAAAGCATCAAACATCAGAATGGAACGACCATCTCTAATAAGGAGGAACGCCTTGACCGGTGGGCTGAATACTTTGAACAACAACTGTCGTGGCCACCAGCCAGCACTCATCTACAGCCCACAGGTGAAGTAGAACCCTGGACGGTGAACGTGGAACCACCTACGGCCTCGGAGGTTTACGACTGCATATGTTCTCTCAAGCGCCACCGAGCTCCCGGTCCGGATGACCTTCCACCTGCACTGTTCAAAGACGGGGGTGAAGTCCTCAGTCAGCGCCTGTCCGACCTGTTTGCTTGCATTTGGGAAAAGGAGTCTGTCCCAGACAACTGGGAATAGATGTTATATCTGAATATCAGCCAATTATCAGAGTGCCCGTTTGATCATGATCGCTTCCAAGTTGCCCACAGATATGATCCCACGCAGGAATACCAGCACCTTTGTGAGGAGAGCCGTGAAAACCAAGCAGAGTTCCGTTCGGGTCGTGGCTGCATTTACCATATCTCTACCTCACGACAACTGCTGGAGCATCGTCACACAGAAAAACAATAATTGTTGTTCTCATGTCTGAACGTAATGTCCGGCTCGGTCGCGCTGCTTTGTGGGGATGTCTATCTTTCAATGGTGTGCCACGCATTTTCTTCACAGTCCTCCAACCATCATACTATATACCTGCGGGCGCGTTAAGGTCTGCTGGGAATACTCTCCCAACATGACCAAAAGTGGTGCCCTTCAGGCTTACTGTTTGTCACCTTTTCTCCATAACCTAATAGTGGATTAATTAAGTGAGAAACTTTTGTTGTCTTTCACCCTAATTTTGGACCTTCTTTCCTGGGAAGCCCTTAAATTCATTGAATATTTGGCCAATGTTGCGCTACTTCTTTCAGTTTCCATTCAGATAAGAAACACACCAAATAACCTAAGTGATGTTACCATGCGTTTCGAATTGCGTCTCTCACCCTCAAAGTACGAAGTGCTATTATACGACTGGGCGAGCGCGCCACTAAAACAGGCTATGGTGTCAGAACCAAGTTACTGTCTGATTTCGTTTCCCCATCCTGCTGCATTCGGGGATTAAGGCGACCCGGTCGATGGCATGATTTCTTCTTCCAGGATGGGGACCGCGTGATCCTCGCTGTGCCTGGTTGGAGACACTACAAGATATGGCTGGCACCCGATGTCAGTGGCGTTCTTGTTGTCAGTTTCTGTCCAGATTGCCTGAGTGAATTTCTGGAGGTGTAGGCACCTCGGAATGATTGTGTTAAGCTAGCACTAAGTCCCTCCCCCATCCACCTTTATTCTTTTCTTTACAATAAGGCTTTCAAATAAGTCATGGCTGTACGGCAGTGAAGCATTGGTGTTGAGCACTGATGTCATGCTGTCGTTGATGATGATGATGATGACTATCTAGATGTTCAATAGCGTCTGCAAGTCTGCTGTTGGGAATAAGCATACGGGGAGAAATGAGGTGGGAGTAAAGTCAGCCCATACTTACCTGAATGACTACCTATGCTGAATTACTCCACGTGCCCGAGCAACAAGAATTCATAGGGAAATACATTTTAAAATTCCATACTTCTACTGGCACAAACGGCTGCAATCCACCTAAACAGCCTGAGTTGTAGGGTCTCCAGAGGGGTTGGGCGCCTCAGGGTTCTTTTTTATATTTCTGCTGACCTGCTGGCCTTTGAGTGAAGGTGCCTCTTTGAAAATCTCGGAAAACCGAGGGTGTGCACACTTTGTGTGGCTCTTATTGTGTCTGCTGTTGAGGTATCGTTTTCAATAACCCTACACTGCTTCTTCGGCTCAGACTGGTGCAACATGAGTGAAACGGTCTGCGTAAAACTCTATTTGAAACAACCAGAATCGGGTTCGAAAAACTGTTGGCGTTTACTTGATGTCTATGGATACGAAAAAGCGGATTAAACCGTTGTGGCGAGCGGAAAACAAACTTTCAAACTAGGTCTGAACCTGTATATCAGCAACCTTATGAGTAGTACATTACAAATATATACATGTATCGCGACATCTCGAATATCGTAGCGACTGAAACACGAGGCGGCCTGGTGCAGCACATTCAGTTGTCTGAGAACATCACAAACGAGAGATTCAGCTGGGTTCCAGGTTAGTCTCTCGAAAAAACAAATTAGTTTGCAAATGAGTGTATATTCGCTAAGTCTGATCCTGGTGAAACGGCATCTTTACATGGATGCTAGCATCGCAGTTGTGAAAGCCCGAGACAGTATTCTGTGACCGGCTCAACTTACCTCGTTTGCTCGGAGAATATCCTGCATGGAGACGGTGAAACACCTGTGCCAGCAAACATGAACGCTTGTGGTAGCTCGCTGCAGTAGTTGGGAGAGTTCTGAATCGGAAGAAGCTGAAAACAATGGGGCGAAGGATGGATAGGCTTTATGAGGAGTCCAGAAAGCCAAAATAAACATGTTTCGGTCTTATATACCTGTTCAAAGTCAAACTGCACATTTTGCGAAAGACATAAGATCAATAATTATGCTGAGACCCGTCACGCCGCAGTCAACCTTGAACGGCAGTGTATAGAAAATGAGTAAAAATTGAAAACAGCTAGTGACCGTTCCGACAAAAGGTTTGTGCATCAGTATTCTCTGTACAATTACACTGTCACATACACATGCATGCCAGGTTAAGCACACACGTCTAAACCCCGCTTGATATCTCGAAATCAAGTAGACAGAAGGTATTAAAGGTGTTCCGTAAAATCAATCCGTTTGGATATCTACAAAGAGTAGGTGTTCGAGCCAAAGTATATCACTTGACGTGAGCGCCGAGCACGTGCAGTGCCGAAGAAAACTAATAGGGTGAAGAGTTATTTGAGACTGCCGGGACTTGTCAGCTGATACAGATGTTAAACATAGTGTTGTTAGCTGAAAAATAATTATACAGTACTATCTCCCTATTTTTAACTCCGAAAAGCCGAGTGGATTCGGTCGTAGTAGGAAGACGGTCATATCTGGAGGATGGAACAGTCAAACACTCAAAAATGCTATATAAATAAATAAATAAATCATTCAGCTGTGACACCCTTTCGGTGACAAGCTGCCATGCTATCCGAAGGAAGCACGAGGGATGGAATACTGCCAGATGCCCAAGCCTTGACAGGGGAAGTCGAGAGGCAGAGGTCGGATTCGAAGCACGGACATTCCGGTCACTAATTACGAGCTCTGACCACCAAGCCACAAATACCAGCACATCATCAGTAGCATAAATCAGATGTTTAATTTAAACTACCAGTGATGAGTCAAACCTTCTAAGCAAAATAACCGGGATTTCAAACACCATGAGAGTTAAATATGGATCCGTAGAGTCTCCGCCTCTTGTCTATAATGCACCCAGAGGCTTACTACCACCTACTAAGTAATCAGGACACCTCTCAGTAGCCAGCAGTCAGCGATGAAAACTATTCTTCAGCAAGCAAACGGCTAATAAAGAGGGCAGAGCGACCAAATGTGAGCTGTCGCCTCCAGTAGAAAAACAGTCTGCTCATATCGGTGAAAGTGAATTTTCACGAAGAGGATTCACCCTCCGATTTAATTCTAAAGACTTGCAAGTACAGTCCAAATGTAAGCAGACGTGGAAGAATTGCGTCCTCGTTCAGTCCCTTCATTAGTTAGTTCGTAACGGCAAATATCAAGTTTCAGCGAGTAGCTAAACGGCCGCACATAGATTGAGTGTCACAGCCAACTGAGTTAGACCCCCTCTGTCCGGTAGTGTTCACCTCCCAGAAAGGAACGTCATCTTCATACTGAACACTACTTTCATATTGTGATCTTTCGTACTGGATAGTAACACAATGTTGTCGGCAAACAAAAGAACACGTTTCCAGTCCTCAGATCCATTCCCAGTGTATATAAGGGCCTACTTGTTCATGGAACGTGTCTTCCTATAGCCTATCATCCTTTTCGGGCGAAGGGTGACAAGTTTAACCAAGTGAAGTAGTCTCAGAACTACTACCGAATCCTAATGGCCGTCATCATACAGCTGGAAGATTCTGCCTCTTTGGCCAAACGTCCTAGAAAATAAGAAAAAAACCTCCCCGGTTGAAAAAAACTATATGCACATCAAAACGAGGGGTTTAAACGGACTTCCAATGAACGATATACACGTGAGATGAGAAGATTGACGGAAATTTGGGGACTATGTTCACATAATGAATCCAACGCGGGGCAAACCCGGTAGTGGGCTGTGAGTGAATTTTAATCAGTCTCGCCATACTAATTAAAATATCCATTGCTATGCAGGAGAATGTCATACTCCGTCACAACAGCTCCTTTTCCTTTCTATTCTTCAATAGAGGGGTTGCTTAGACTGCGCCAACCCTTTATTTTATACCAAATTATTACTCGAACAATAGATGACACAGATCACTCTGGAAAGTAAAGCATCAGGCCTGTTCCCTGTTGACGTCTGTCTAGTTCCCCCCTGAAGACTTTTAAAATAAGCATGCGTGTCAGTGCTGATACTGCTACCCAAATCGCTTTCTTCCACAACTGTTCAATTCTCTGTAGCAGGCAATGACGCACGTGCTCTCGCGCACTCGTCTAGGTGTGTTCGGATCCGCTGGGTGTGACAACTAGCGTCTTGCGTCAAATAAATTGACACTGGTTGACCTTACCCAGCATGTGCTATCGACTAGTGGTGTCTCGTATTTGTGGGTCGAGCCCCATTCATGAATGCATACATCAGTTCATAGTCAGTCCAGCAGTTTAGCAGCCCGTCGACGCCCTGCGCATACTCGAGTTCCACTTTAGCTATGCAGTGAACTTCCAGACGTCAAAGCATCTATTAGACGTCTGATTAGACGACTGCGTCGCCCATAGCTTCATCCCGCACTGGAACTACTGTCTGATTTAACTGGGGTGGGTCAGAACCGAGCGAATGAGCAGTGCGTGGTCGGTTGGCTTGTTCACTATTTCTGCCTCATGTTGAGCCATCGCTTACCAGTGTAGCTCGAACAACCAAACTGACCTAGACCTGTCCAATTCGGTCCAAACTGATTTTTCCTCATACAATAGGATGAACTGATGTGTTTAACTTTGTGCCTGGTACGAGTAAACTCGTTCCGTGCGAAAAGCAGAGGTTTTGTAAGGACCTTTGCATAGTGGAACCGATATTCGCTAATCGAGTTGGGTTTTATGAAATAACAGAGATGTGAACAAAGTTTTCAGGACATTCAAACATTTCCTTTGGGAGGAAAATTCTGACGACGCAATGTCTTTTATTGGGTGCAAAAGCCAAAAAAAAACAATCAGGTATTACAGTTCGATGAGGGCGTACCTCATGGAGATGTGGACGGGACAGTCTTCTGTCCAGTGTTATTCATCCTTATTTGTTGCTGGGATCACAGGGCATGGGTATTATGAACGTCGAACAGGCTGGAGATCAGGATTAGAACTGTAGGTGAAACTTTCAGTTGTATACCTCGGATAGGTTTACCAATCACAATGTACAAACTCTATATGGACTCAGTTCCATAATAAGTGTATCAAAGCGGGTGTGTTTGAACCTATCCTCCAAAGGGACTATTGACAGTGAACTAATAAACAAGGAAATACCGGGTCAATTCAGTGTTGTCCTTCCAGAACATTAGCCGAAGTCCTGGAAGTTGCCTTTATTCTCTGCACCTTCCTGTCTTTGCTATTCCACCTGTTGAAAAGTTGATTACGCTGCGAGGCCATCAGAATGAGCATAGAAACACATTCAGAAGTAGCTCAAACAGGAAGCTGATTTCATGCGCAGTCGGATAGTGCCTTATACCAATAATTGAAGCTTAAAGAATCGTGCGCCATCCATCGGTCTCGGTCTGCAATTTCATGACAAATGCCCAAAGTAGGAGAGATGGCAACCGACTGTCCAACTATCCACTGTGTAAGCACAAACAATTTTCCGAGTCTTATCTGTTCACTGGGATAAATAGATCTTCAGTTGTGAAGAATTACCTGTCTGGCGCACTGAAAACGAACGGAAATTGGTAAACTATCCATTCGATTTACGAAGTAAGCGAAAGCAAGAGACTGCGACAACTGTTACATGGTGGTTGGTTACGACAAGATGTTCTTGAGCGATGCAACATCGTCGCTGTGCCAGTGATCAAACGGTAGCCCATTGTGAATGAACCGGTGACCTACCAAATGTACCACTAGCAGTTCATCAGTCATATAGATGCTACTCACGGTTCATTGGCTAAGCTATACAACCGTGCATACTACATCGTATACTGTGCTAACGGAATATTAGCTGAGTCTCTCGTGTAGGACAGTATCCCAGCGAGTTTGCTACACAAATATAGCCTCATTTTTCATGCGTAACGCTGTGTAAGATGTCGAAGTGTTTTTGTCAGTACAGTACTTTTCATAAGTTTCATAAGGTTTGGTAACTCACCACTATCGGTTTCGTCCTTCTTGAGGTTCACCAGGTAGACGTGATCCTCCAGTTTCCCCAGCCTCACTTGTTGCTTGGACGCCAAAATTGCACGTAAGTGGAGTTATAGGCCCAATGTAGCACCAACTTGCTGTCAATGGGCGACTTAACGGAATATCAATATCTGCCAATCTTCAGATTGTGCATGAGCTAGATAGATTTGCGCACAATCCGCCACTGCAATACCGGAATGCTACACACGCGGCAGCCAAAATATATCCTTCCATCCTCTTCGAATATCGGACGCTACGTGCTTTATTACAGTATCCTGACTCTACGGATCTTGCCTATTTTTTCAGCAACGGTTTATTGATTCCACGTGGCATCATTGCATAAGCGTTAGGATAAAAGATCATTGAGATTGCAGACCTCAACGGGCACCATATTCTCAAGTATCTGGACAAGAATCGGAAACCACGGCATCGGTTGTAGCAAGGCACGCAGTGATTCAAACAGGGGAGGTGTGATAGTTTCTCTATCAATACAATGCAAGTGTCACACATTTTGAAGGCAATGAAGCTGGGACACCCAATGCAGCACTTGATGTTCGTCCACTTCATTTTACCGATGTTATGCATGAACAACTCAACGCCATACGTCGTTTTGTTTTGCGGTTTTTTTCAAGTCTAGGTAGATGGTGCGAGAATGACCCAGATGACAGGGTCTGGTGATCACATACACTCATACATTCACACATTATTGCAATGATAATTCTTAAACTCATCCCTGGCGTCTTGATAACTTCCCCATCGATTGTCAATTGTTTGTCAGACCTAGTCCCATGTTCACACGAGCTCACGGCATTCAAACCACCCATAAATCGATGTAGTCCACCACACGCACCCAATCACACTGCTACCCGTTAGCGGGACCTGTGACCTTGCAAAGTAACCTTGGCCGTTTGATGTCTCCTAGCGTTCCAACTGGTCGTCTGTTGCCTGTGTAGTAATCAATGCGCATGTGCGTAACAAGCGATCGTCGATTCCCGTTCCGCGTTCCTCTTGTGTAACTCAAGCACATCAGTTGGTCGTACTTTAGGGATAGGTCAGGACTATCCAGTACCAGCATCAATCCATAGGTTGTCCTATGTGCAAGAAGCTGTTGTATACAGAGCTCACACGATCCAGAAAAAGCGAAATGTTCTGTCGTAGATAAAAGTCGTGAGAAATACTCGACTAGGTTTCTATTGTATTGGTGCAGGAAATGTTAAAAGCTTATCTTCGATTTCACATTCTGACGAGGAAAAATTGTCGTTGAGGCGGTGTTTTGGTGCTTCTTGGATAGGATTAATACACTATCATATTGTTCTGTCTACCTAGGTAGAATACAGCACCGGCGAAAAAACAATGGGGCACATCATACAACGGGATGTATTCACTTCATTTTTCAGGTGCGATGCACTGCTGAATTCCACCGTGAAACGGCTGTTAGCTGTAAGCTTTTAGAAAACACCCAGCGTGACGTCATGTTGACAGGTGTTTCGGACAGACAAAGTCGAGTATTCACACCACCACGGTCCACCAAGCGCTTTATGCGTATTCAACCCATTGCCCACAGTCAGCACACAGTGCGGCCAAACGAACAAGTCCACCAAAATGGATCGATGGCTTCGTGAGGGATGTCGCAGGGAAAAAAGACATTCGCGGCTGCACCCTGTTGTTGCGACGTTGTCGTAAGCTGACTCTCCCAGGCTGTGTCGGCGGTTACTAAGCCCACGAAAGCTGATGATATGGCAACCATGTAACCATTTTCTTACATTTGTCAAAATCCCACCGAAACAAGACCTACATTGTGGAACAAAGGTTCCATAGCATACGCTGATCAGCCTGATTCAGAAATTCAGATTTTTGTGTTATTGTCGTACAATTATATCTTCGAGGGATCTACAAGGCACAATGCTCGGAAGCAGTTTGAATACTACACACAAATCAACTAGGTGACAGTGGATATGATGGAAGACTAATAATTAGATAACCCGGGGTTCTCTTCAAATCGATACTTTGTGTGCATAAGAATGAAAGTAAAATTAGCATCGAAAGCACCATAATAATTATTTGGACGTTTGATTCACGTTCGGCCCAACACTGTGGTATAGACCGCAGTTCTCATCAACAGGAATTATGCAAAAGAATGTAGCTAGCAGAACCTTCTTGGACAACGTCCGTCTCGCGACCGAACCGATGATGCCAGGACAGTTCATAACCACTACCAACTTGTTGTGCATTATTTTTAAATGTTATTAGTAGTATGAGCATTATCGTCACAATCCCTAACCATAGTGGATGACAACACAGTACTAGAGAAACCACGATTGTCGTACCAAGTCTTCGCGTTCTCGCGCAGTCGCGTGGGCAGGCTCATGAGGTATGCAATCAAAATATCGACCCCAGTGTCAGGGCTCCGTCTAGTTGCATCGTTCGGTTCAGACCCTAGGCTAACTGTAGATCTCCAGTGTACATGGTTGCAGTGGTGCGTCAAGCCATCTTGATACACTTAGTGGATGCGGTAGAGCCTAATCGCATCTGGTTCCGGTGACCTCGGATAGTCCGGTCTCGCACGATAATTACTTGCGCTGGACTGAATAGACAGCTATGTGCAACTTATCAAAGATAGGCAGCGCAAACTTCTTATTTTTCAAACCGCATCATAGATGCCGCTTATAAACTTCAGGTGAAATGAAACTGACTTCTGATAGTTTTATAATAAAAAAGCAAGATTGGTGTAGATTATGCAGACACTTTGACGAATTACAACACATCTTTGGTAGCAAAACGCCAACCTGTTGGATTTTACTGCATTGATCCTTGGACGGTGTCTAAAACATACTATCACCTGTGGTGTTTCGGGTTAAAATGACTCGATAGGAAAAACACAAATATTCCCGTATCCTTTGTCGTGGTTACCCCATAAGTATGAAATGCTGAGCTTAATTGAATGACGCGGCTAGCTTCCTTCTTAAAGAAAATAGTTTCGGCGTGCCTCAGTATCGTTTCACCTGGGGTTAATCTCGAACACGTGGACAAAGATATTTAACACCGGTACGTTAAGGGTAAGAAACAAAATCAATCGACGATGAGCAGTACCTCGCTTGCCACTGTATTTTATGTGGCTTTATCTAAGATGTTCACTGCTGTGCTCCTGAGTTGGCGAAGGATAATGGAGGGCTTTTTGTCCGCCAGGCTACTGGGACTCGGACTTCTGTGACTCAAGCTCATGAGCAGTACACATTAGTTTCTCTTATATCTGCCGGAATTGGTGAGTCTGTGTTGACAGGAAGATAAGCGGTCGTTTAGAGCTTTTTGTTCCCCACGATTCTACGCCCAGTGTTCGGACTTTACATCGCGAGTGGTGGCAATTTATCTGGTTTGAGGCAGATTAGCCAGGTGTCACAGTTTCCCCCAAAAATACCAATCTGAACAACATCTGTTTCATTTGGTCTGTGGAACTAATAGCAACTAGTTAAACTACATACCATATTAAAAATGATTATTCAAATCATTTCCAATTTGCTTCCTTCTCAATGAGTGAATTTTTTTCAAAGTATCGACATTATATTCAGGCTGCATTAATCGATTCGCTAACGTCAATTCCATACGTCACATCTCAAGAAAATTTTCCGGAAAGCGGAAATATATGTGGAAAAAATATGCTTGTTTGAGGGTGAAGTAAGAGAATTTGGATTTAGTTTTACGCAGTCATGAACATCAAGCACAAATCTCGATGGAACAGAAAATCCCGCACCAGAAAAGTACACGCATTTAAGGGCAAATAGAAATTTCTCAAGTCGAATCGATCCACATGATCACGAAAGGTAACATATTTCTGTATCATCTAAATTTTTTGGTACCGAGCGTTGAGAATATCATGAACTCTCATGCAAATCAGAAGACGCTAAACCGCACTTCACCAACGTTCAGAAGATCTTGGGGATAAATATGATCGAGAGGAATTCTGGTGATGACAATGACTTAAGCGTGTGCTACGGATGCGATTATCACGGTGTAGCAAACATTCAGAGATGTCGTGGTTGGTTGAAAGACCGACGAATGTCTCTTCAAGACTGTCCTTAGTTTTGGATATCATCAATACCTAATCTGGTTATCACATCAGGAAGAGTTCGTATGGAAAATGTTACCCTCTTTCTTTCACGTGAAGTATGTTCGGTTTATGGATTCATGTAAATATATTCGATGTTTGTGTGTGATCGACTGTGCTAAACACAAAAAGGTGGAAAACTCAACCGATTTTTGAGAAGGACTTTCGAGACTTCAGTAGGCGCATCTTAGTTGTACTCCGCATTACCCCTGATTCGTTTTTGACCCAGTTAGGAAAAGTGGCCTTGATTTACCGTTGGAAAAACTAGCGAAATTCCCCCGTTGTCCCGTTTATGGTATAAGTGTGTCAGACTGATGTTACCCGAGCATAGTTGTATCGAAGCAGCTTTGGGGAGCATCCCAAGTTTGTTTGAGTTAACCTAGCGCATCTTAGTTGTACTCATTGTATTGCCTCTGATTCGTTTTTGACCCAGTTACGAAAAGTAGGATTGATTTACCGCTGTCCCGTTTATGGTATGTGTGTTAGACTGATGCTACCCGAGCATAGCTGTATCAAAGCAGCTTTATGGAGCATCCCAAGTTTGTTTGAGTTAACCTGTTTCCGATGAACTCTATGGATGCACCTCGCTATAAAACTACGGCAGTAATAATAGACATAATTTCTCAGCTGTAACACGCTTTCGGTGCATAGCTGCCATCCTACCTGAAGGAAGCAAGGAGGTTGAGATAATGCCAAGCTGTCCAGGCCTAGACGGCAGCAGTTGAGATCGTGAGGTTGGTGTAGAACCACGGACCTCGGTCAGTAAGTTTGCGCTCTGAAACTATAGCATATATTTTGTGTAACCGTTGTATGTAGGGAGACCAAACGACAGTTGAGTTTTTCGTGTGGGCGGAGTATAACATAGTCATTTCAATTCAAAGTCACTGGAAATCGTCGAGCCAAACATACAATTTGTCGACTATTTCATCTGCCCAGTATTCACTCACATAGTTTCTCCAGCTGACACTTTTGAGACAGGAATGCTGGGATTTTACCTTCCCATGTCCCAAATTCCATTTTCACAGAATAAATTTACTGATTAAAACCTTCCATCAAACACAGTCAGGCCTAACCTGGCTTGGTGAATAGTCTGTAGTACAATGTAGGAAAGGACTAATCTGATCGACATCACCCGGAAGGTTACCAAGCATGACCTTACTGGCAAGGAAATTGGTTCCATGAACTATGATGTGATAACAGAACACAAACAGCTTTCAAATTGAACATGACGCCGATAGGTTAAAGCAGTGATTTCAGGTTCGGAGCGTCACAGAGTGAGAAATCTCCAGTCCGCAATTTAGCCATAGGATACGTTTAACTGAGCTCAAAACTCCATACCAATCGCTGGTCTAAGGTTACCGACCCGTGCTATCGGGTTCAACGGTTGTTCAAGGATGTGAGATTCTGAGGCCCTCTAGCAATAGAAAGATAGAGGACAATCTATCAATGAACAATGCGTCAATTTGATAGAGGGTGTTGATACGAAAGACTAAAACTATTGGATGCGACGAAACCTAGTAGTTAACTTGCTAACAATGATTTTTCGAGAATACGGGGTTTAGCGAAACTAGATGTTTTCGGCAGATTTCGACAGGCTTCTACAGCTCCAAGTTAATGCAGAAAGAGGAAACAGAAACGCAGTCAGTAATCAGACAGCCAAAAGCGTGAATGATGGTCAGGCGTTTGTTTATCGTTGGTCGATCGATTGCCAGTTCAATCGGGTTGTTTCTGCGCACACCGAGTTGGGCTCAGTAGCCGGATAGTCATCGATTCGGCAGCGCTCGGTATCAGCTGTCGAACTATTATCGATCGATTGTTTGGAACCCAATAAATGACACCACATGAATGAGTCAGGTTAACTCGGTGATTCAGAATTGCGCTGTTGCCTGATTTCTCAGTCCTCATCCCGAGAAAACTAGGCCAATTCTGTTTGGTCCTCTGTAAAAAGCGACCGGTTGCGTGACCGACACAGATTGGGGAGGACACGGAAACAAATGGGTTGACCACAAATGCTAAATCGAGGACAGATTCGTAACGAACATTAATGAATCGTAAAACGAAAGATTTGGCTCAGCAGCAGTAAACGTTCTTCTGAAGGAGCGTTCTGTTCGGGCTGTAATGCATTCCGAATCGCTATTGCTTAAAGGGTAGTCGGTTTGGGAAGGCCAGACCAGCTTTCGTGGTGTAGACATGGCAACAACTTATCTGTCACGGGTTGAATTTACAATGCTGCGCTGTGCTGCCCTCCATATTGTTATACGTTTCAGAAACCTGACCGATACGCTAAGGACGTCAAAAAACTGTCAGTGTTTGAACATCGATGGGTTTGGAGCATTGACGGAGTTTGATGGGATCAGTAAGGCAGAAGTAAGCCCACGAGAGCTGAACTGATCACACTACATAAGTTCCACTGATATGGACATGTGTTGTGTGTGCCAATAGCAGTGCCTTTCTCGCAGAACGAAGCACAGGGTGGAAACGAGCCAGGGGAGCTGAAACAATCACTTAGCAGTGAAATACGAGTCATTACCGGCAAACTCGGCTGCTTTGATCATTACCGTCTCCCTGGATGGGGACCCTGATACGGGACACATCAATGGTTAGAGACATTATCAGATATGACCCAGTCGCGCTCTTGGTGGTGTTCATGCATGGAAACTGTAGTCTTCAATGAATGGCTGTCATACCAGTCTCCACAATAGAAAGTTCACTGAAAGACACATCAAGGTTAGAGACATTATCAGATATGACCCAGTCGCGCTCTTGGTGGTGTTCATGCATGGAAACTGTAGTCTTCAATGAATGGCTGTCATACCAGTCTCCACAATAGAAAGTTCACTGAAACCCCTGTATTTACGCATAAATTATATCAGTTATCGCCTCCTTTGCATAGCGCTCTACCCTACCTCCCAAAATAATCGGCAAACGAAACTGTGACAGCTATGAACACTGTACGACTGACGGCCATGACGATGAGCTATTTGTTGGCGGTGCGCTGTTTCTCCAATACCGCTTCATATGTATCCTAGTGTAGTTCAAAGAGTGCGGGTTCTGTTGCGGATCTTTTGCTCCAGTAGCACGTCCATTGTCTACAATGTCATGTGAGCGAATCCTTCTGGTCCCATTTGCTTAACAGAGAACTATGTTTCGTCGACATGAGAGTCTGTTACTTGACCAGTTCTCATGGGTTGCATATAGATCCTTCATTCCACAGTACCACAGGTGTTTCCCTTAAAAGCCAGTGAAAGCTGTCTGCAGACTCTTGATCTGCGCTAAATCTACATGACGAGTATGGACTGTTGAGGCAATAGCCGGTGGTTGGTTTGGAGCCAATAACGGCAATTATGTTATCTTCATAGCGTCGATGGAACAGAAAGTGATTAGGAACCGGATTAAAAGGCCCAATTGATGGACCAATAACGACTCTGTCTAGTTGTCAATAAGTAGTACAATCGGAGTTAAGCAATATATTGAACGTGTGGTTGAAATACTGAATTCGACTCCAGCACCACTGACTGAATCATCTAAGTGATTTGTAGTTTTTTCAGCGTTACCTTTGAAAACATGGTTTCGTACCCGAATCGGGTCGGTGAAGTAGAATATGTCCCTAAACTGAGTTGTATGTGTATGGGTTTGAGTAGTGTCGTTAGCTAACAGGGTACTGAATAGTGCGGCCAGTTTGTCGAATCCAGGGTGGGCCGAAGAAGGCGATCCTGTCCGAGTAATTTCGGAAGTCCATACAACCGAGGTATAGGTCTCAAGCGAACAATCAAGCATAAAACAGTTGCTTACCACTTGTGAGCTCTGTGTTCTTGAAGTCCGTGTTTAAAATCCCCATCGGTTCCACCGACTTCTCTGCGGCCTGTGACGGTTTTGTTTTCGCCGCTAGTATGGCCCGTGAAATATCCTCGAGCCAACGATCTCTCTGCCAGTCGGAAGGTGCAGCCACAAGAAAACATCGATTTCCGGAAAACACGGTGAAGCTATATGCGGGCTCGGCTTCTTCCACCATCAGATCATGCAGTGGGAATTGTCCGTGAACCTGAGGAGCACGGAGAATGTAAGGGAGTCAGCTATGTATAGGACGGCCATTAAGACAACCAGGATAAGTTGTGGTTTTCTTCAGAAACGGTAAAGAACGGCATTGACGAAGAACAAAACACCGGAGTTCATGAGAGACAAGAAGAGCTGGTAATTGCTAGGCTATTCTGAGGGGAATACATCTAAAATATACTTCAAGTACTGGTTTAAATATAAGTTTCTCCAGGGCTTGGAATTCGATAGGAGCCCCAACAGACCGGCTAAAAGTGGTCTGTAGAGAAGAGTTCAATTGTTATTTAAAAATAATGTGTTCCCCTTAGAATTATCTGTTACCCACATGACTGTCATTCGAGTCTGTTGCGATGACCATTCACTTTGAAATTAGGTTGGTGCTGGGGGGAGACTCAGCTGAATTTCATCTGTATCCAACTATCTGATGAGCACCAAGAAGGGCGAAACCGTTGGTCCGCACTTTTCATCGACCTTATGAACCACATTTTGATACTTTGGATTTCATTCCGACTTGAATATGAAACGGTATTTGTACAACATATTCAACTGAAGAAAAGCATGGACAATCAGTTCAGGTGGAATTCAGCCAAGTTCCACGTCAACACCAGATAAGAACTGAATGGCAACATGCGTCCATTTTGGTGGTCAACTTGGAAATGAGGTTGATGGACATTCGGAGACCCTAAGGGGGACGAAAGCGGCAGGGTTTTGGTCAACCTTATGAGTGTTCATTTAGCACAGGTGTCATCCACTTGTAATGACTCAGACCACAAGTACTGCTGCGCTAGTCTGCATCTATGTTACGAATACCGCGGATATGGTGAGTCGGCTTATGTTCCTGCATATGCCTGTCAGATCAGACTATGAAGATGGACACTCGCCCGCCCCAGGTCAGTTCAGCATTCTGTTTGCGCTGGGCAACATATATGGCCGTTTGGATGTCCTTTGCTCGGTATGAACTCGAAGTATTTGGATCGAATGGCGTAACGGGGAAGCAGTTATAAAAATTGTCGACGGACTCAACTGATGGCCGATCGGGGTCAAATCGAAATTCATTCCTTACGAGGGGAAACTCTTTGCGCCACTTTGCCATCCCTCAAAGTGTTATCTCCGTGGGGAAACACGGCAGGTATGGATCAAATGCACCTAGCACCCAGAAAGAAGTCAGAAGTGCTCTGTAAGGGGGCTCCTTGAATTACCAGTAAATTAGGCATTATTGTCCTCCAAGCACAAAAGTAGGGTGTCCTAAAAGTGAACCATCCTCTGTCCCCTAAAGTGCGTTGAAAATATTGCCAGTTATCGGGTTGCAGCTTTAGTTTTGTCTTTGGGTTTCGACTCCAAGGCTGCAAAGAATTACAAAGGAGTCTCATGCAAACGTTAGCTGACGAAGCGTAATCGGTTAGAAATCACTAGCAAACAGACTCATTGGATATGCTGGATACGGACATCCGGAAAGGGTCTCTGTCACACCGCTTACAGCACAAGGTTTGAAACTGGAATGTTTCTTTCGAAAGACTACTAGTAAGAACTTAACCAGAACTGAGATAACGGAGTTGGACAGGCTGAAGAGAACGGTCCAATTCACGGTACATCAGCCTGTTTGTGAAGTAAAACCCGCCAAGCTTACCTGATTGTTATCCTCATCTCGGGTTACCTATAATAAAGCGATCAGACAAATGTAATCTGGAAGAGTGAATTTTGGCGTAAATTTTAGCGCTATCCTACTGAAGCCACTTGATATGCTGTTGGTAGACCACGTCTTCGAACAATGTAAGGCATGAAGTGAGTGTGGCATTTTATGTGCCGATCGCAGTTTGTCGCTAAAACGAAGTGGAATAAAAAAATTAATCCGTTCGCCTGTCCACGGTGTTAATCCAAGAATTCAGTTTGTCACCTTACCACTACTTCTACTTCACAATAAAGGTGACTGCGCACAATCGACAGACAAAACCAGTGAACTACATCAGTTCCATCAACCGTGGTTCAGTAATTCAGACAAAACCTTCATAAAGTTGCCAAGACCGTAGCCCACAATCAACAGGTAACTCCAGAGCGATTGTACAACAGAAAGAATGGAGAAGAATGTCCGAGTTTAAGTGACGAAACCGAGGAATGCGCTTGTTCGCTCTGTAGACACGCCAACCGCATTTTGATTGACAGGCTGCCCAGCATTATCTTGTGCAGTACCGGTGTTACCTATTCTCGGGGGAGTATTCCGTATTGATTCTTGTTTGTTAATTTTTGCAGCTTCGAGCAACCGGAATTCTGGTGTCTGGTTGTTTTCCCCTTTTCCTAATCTGGTTCTGCACCGCTTTTAGGAGCGTCACCTCTGCTGAACAATTTGCTTTTGTTCGTATATAATCCAAAGTGAACCGATCTGTCTATCATATCAGTTGAATTTTTGTCTGGAAAAGCTCATGCTGTTCGTCTATCAAATCCAAAACAATTCGTTCAACTGTCCTCGTTCGTCGAGTGTTGTACATACTGTCACCTGCTGAAGTCAAATGACCAAGATAGAACCGTACGGGGGCACAAAACACGGAACATGCGAGTGAAACAATGCAAGATTACATGCCGCAGACTGATGTGAGTCAGTCAACAGACATCAGTAAAGATGAACGATAAGTTGGTACCGTTTTCGGATTTGCCTGTCACATCGAACTACGCCGATGGACTCCTGCGCACATTCGGTAACGTCATATGCGATTTGCTTTCAAAAGCAAACCGTGCACCGAAGTACAGTAGCTCCGGTTGCTACAGCTACGTTCTTCGAGGATAAGGAGAATTAGGGAATGAGAGTCATGCATTGGAGCCGATGGTCAAATTCGTGCATTGACAGGTGGATGCTTATCCAGTCTGACACGAATTGAGGGCTAAACAATGAGGGCGATAAATTTGATGCAAGAGACATTGGCTCCATGACACAGGCATATCTGTCATGGTCACTAACCATTGTTTTGCCTCGTCCCGCGGTACTCATTTGGGGAGACGGCAGTAAACAACGCTACTTGAGTTTGCTATTAAGGGCTTTTATGCTTCGTTGTCAAGTCGTGGAATGACCGACCCTGGATTGCCGCCATCCGACGCAAGGCTGGAGAAGAGTACTGCGAGAGGCAGCCGACTCTCTCGCACACGAATTACGTGGCCTGACCAGTGTAACTTGTGCGGCTTCACCAACTGATATATCGAACGAGGGTGGAGTTCCCCGAAAATCATCTGGCGTACTTCAGCATTACGGACTTTACGTTCCCACAAGACCCGCACAACGTTTTGGAGGATGAAAAGAAGATTGCACTCCTGAAGCTACCAGCCTATCACTGTCAGGTTAAGTGGAAATAACTTAACAATTAAGACCCACAAGAGAAGATGTGGGCATCATCGATGGATACACCCATCAGTGTACATTCATCATACTGCCACCGCAGTTGGCAAGTATGCAAAAACGAGCGTTGGCAACAAGTTGTAAAGTTTCTCTTACCTTAAACTGCAAATAGGCAGCTGCAGTTCGGCCTGCGTAGACAAGCTGGTCCGAGAAAAGGAAAAACATCCGAGGCTGATAGCCTTTTTTGGACAGTTTCTGTAACCACCCTTCACGAATAAATTGTCGGCCGGATCGAATGAGCGGGCCAGCAGCAGGGCCTGAAAAATCTTCGGTTGCGACCGTTTGCTGCGGCTTTGTCGATGTCTCAACATTGTCAGGCAGTGCCGAAGGGAACGAGCTTAGTCCCGTAAGATCACGCTGGATCTCCAGAAGCTTGTAGGTGTTTTCCAGTCGTTTGTATGACTCCCACTGAGACTGGATGAGGTCGAGTAAGCGAGCATGAACCACTGAAACAGAAAAGCGAAACCAAAAGGTGTTGGCGGCAATCTTGTTGCCGATCATAAACTGTTGAGAGGGCAGAGAGCTAATCATAACCGCTGACGTGGAAACTAATAGAGCGAGGCCAGCTCACTAAGCAGAATACGATCTACTAAACCACGGATTTGTTGATATTTTTGTTATTATTGAGTTGATGAAGCAGAAAGTCAGATCAACACATCGAATGATGATAAAACTTTATCCGGGAGTGCTAAAAGAGTTTCAACTCACAACTACATACTGTTACCTAACCAATTTGCATCAAAACAAACCTAATCAGTGAAATCCAGCAGTGATTAGTAGTGAATCCAGCAAGTGACCTATGTCTTCTTCGAGTGGGTTTCAACGTCTAATATTACTTCCTTTTTCATTCACAAAAGCGTATTTTAAACTTACACTGGAGGTTTCCCAGGGTGGTGTGGTAGGAATGACTTGCTGATCACAACACAAACATGCATACTACACGTACTCATATAACGCGTGCAACGGATCGCCCAAAAGGCTGTTCAAGAATTCATGGTGTAGCAGAGCAAAAATGAAAAAAAACAATCACCTTTATGAAAATATTCTCCTGGTGTTCTAACATATCTATGGTTATTCTCAATGATTTTTGCGTTGTATACGAATAAGGAACCGTCCACAAAAACCGGTCGAAAAACGAATACGAATATAGTTGCTCACTGATTGATACGCAGAACATCTAACAAGTAATCACTGTAGTAATGTCCAAAATTGGTTTTATTCTTTTGTGACATCTGGTACAGATTTTAGGTCCAGTCATTACTACACAGACCAACAACAGTTACCAAACTCCTCTCCTGCTTGCTTCTAACAGACTGACAAACCATTTGGTCAAGGCATGATAAGGAGAATTAGACATCGTTTTAGAAAGCCTTGGTAAACAATCGGTAATTTTTCCAATTGATTGAGAATAAGACATTGAAGATGGGCCTGAGAGACAGGCCGGGTTCAGACAATTTCGGGAGACCATAAAGCCGAGGGATTGTTGTACCAGGAGAGCGAATACGTTTGAAATTGTTCCTATCAATGTTTCCGGATTATTTAAGACATCCTAGTATTTTGGACACCGCTTTTTTCCAGTCATTTGCAACTTGTCCTTTTCGGGTTCCTTTTTCTTAAATTTTGATCTACCCGAGAGGATGGTATTCATCTTATCAGTTTAGTCAGATTTGTCCATCAAGACAATTATTGTGCCTTTATCTGGCCTGGATTGAACTGAACTGAACTTTTTTCGGTCGGATGTCTTGTCCATTAGTTGTTGGTGAAATTTCAGCTTCTTTGAACAAGAATATGAATCTATGGATTACAGTGGTCGTCCTCCAACATGACCCCATGAAGACGGAGTCTCCTACCTGAAAGGAACCACCTCACAAACTTTACCATTGGGCTGACAGATGAAACAAAAAAACTGTGAAAAAGGAATCTAAAATATTAGCGGTTTTGACGTCATGGTGTGTCAAAAGGGAACCACTTCCTTTCAAAAGCCGGGGATCATAAACAGTATAGAGTAGGAGCAGTTGATACCTACTTAATCATGGTGTGACACAAAGTTCAGACACTAAGTTGAGCCTCACAGTTATCTCTGGTGCACTCATTTGCGTCGATTAATGAGGTCGCCAGCGAAAAAAGTCAGGCGAATCACGTGAACTTATTGTTACATAGTCATGAGGGCATGTTGATAACCTTGGGCTCGATGATGCTTGATTTGACTTCACCAACCAGGGGAGCACATTGCTCGCCAGATATTTTGGAAACACTGTGCGGTTTACCACTGTAGGACAATAATGGTGTTGGGCTCTCCAGAGGTGAAATGGAGACCATTTAGCTCAGCATGAAAAGATTAATATGGTATCAGAACGAAGAGCGAAGAGTGAACAGAGGCTGTGTGGTGAACATGACTGATACTCTATTCACTATTCTTTTGTTTTAATATTCCGCATGCTGTACATATACGCCAATTCGAATACATGTGCTACTTGTGCGCTGATTTGAATTCTAGATTTCTAGTTCGTCTGGTTATACCAATATACATGCGAAACTTAATTCTCACAGGCTGGTTTCTGTTAGCGTCATCAGGCTAAAAAATACAACGGATATTCTGAGCTGATGCAAACGTTGGTGGGTAAAAACTGCCGGTGGAGTCAAAGAGATCATTCATCTGCTGTCTACATTACTTCTGGGATGCCATGGCAATTTCTCAGTGAAGTGCGTCAAACACAGTAAGCCCCGGCTGCCAACGGTAGGAGTGCATCCCAAATTAGGTAGTGAACACAACGGCAACGTCGCTGTAGCCATAGTTTCAGCGTATGTCGATCACGGGATAGTTACCATGACGAGTTGGTATTGGAACAAGCGGTATCAGGAACCCAAGGCACAAGGCGCTCATGCAAAAACCGTAGGCTTAGTGCGTGTGACGTTAAGATGGGGTACAAAACGAAGATGGCCCTGAGGTCGACAACCACAATCAATGTAGGGCTGTTTTGCAATCAAAAGGTTGAAATGGGCACTAGCTCCGGAGTAGTGTATGGACGGATCATCCAGTGTTAGGCATACCTACAAGGCAATAGACATTCAATTAACCATAGGCCCACTGAGTGCGGCTGCTATAGTTTTGCTTACCGGAAAGTGAGAGATTGTGGGACACAGCTAAGCCTTGAAGGCAACGGTATGTGGACCATGGGCGCTAGACAGAGTGCACTGTTCCATCCAAGGGCAGCTATAGTTTTACCGGAAAGTGAGAGATTGTGGGACACAGCTAAGCCTTGAAGGCAACGGTATGTGGACCATGGGCGCTAGACAGAGTGCACTGTTCCATCCAAGGGCAATGTGATATAGCAACACCCTCCTGCCACATACTACTGGCTCAATCAAACCCTACTTATGGCTCACGCACGTGATATCCCATTATATGGCCCAACAGGTCTTAGTCAGCCGAACAGGAACGCATGACACCATAAAACTTTTAATGAGTCGCTGGTTTGTGTTTGTGAAACACACAATCCCCGGTAAGTCGGCGTTTGTGATTCCAACAAAGTGGGTATTCTTCCGTAAGGGTGCAATAGATCGTTTCCTTCCAGTCATCCTAGGACCGTCTGATCTACACCTCCAAGATGCTGAGTTCCGGAGTTGCAACAACCTACACTCTTCAGGTGCTCTAAGTCTCCGTATTTTGCACATTGCTAGAATCGGTCATAGCTTTTCATGGCAGTGTAGTGCTACAGACAACAGCAATAAGATCACAAGCTCAGTGCCTCCCACTTGACGTCTGATGCTGCTAAACCGAAGGGGAGTTAGAAGTTCAGGATACACCATAATTAAGGCAGACAGCGCACTACAGATCTTGAGTAGGATATGTGACTCAGAGAAAAAGTATTTCAGAGTTTGGGTTGAAGGTGATTTCTTCAGAGAACAGGCAAATATGCGGGAAAAACCACATCAATCAGCTGTCATTGTATCATTCTTGGGGAGGGAGGTGATATATTGAACACAATCGGTTGATGATCTGTACTTATTTCGTCAAAACTCACAGAAAATACTAGTGTTCAACTTCTTTTTAAGGAAATCTGCAAAGGACAGGTATGGTCGTAAGCCGTTCAATGAGGCCCTGTGGAGCTATACTTCCGAAACACCACCAAGCTCCGAGTGAGTGAGCAGGTCATAAATAGCTTTTTGGAATTCTGATTAACAAGGAAAAGTTGTTGATGGCAATTGTATTAGATAGATCTGCTTGTTCAGGGTAAAAACGATGTCCATCACGAGCAAAGTGCTATTGTAAACGTTTGTCTTGCGGACCACGTTCTGCACTAATTACTTCATTATGTAGCCAATATAAGGGTACTCGTTCAACAAGGTTGTCACTTTTTGTATGACCTTCACAGAGAATAGCTCACCCTGAAATTCCACACTTTTGTAAGCAAATTTTCCTCCAGGTAAGTATAAGTAGGCGGAAAAGTTGTGTACGACAGCCGAAGTAGGTAAGTAACAATTAGGATCATGGTATCATTATGGTTCCCATGATTCTCATTATCTACCTAATCTGTCCTCCGGTCTGTTGATTTTGCGCATTAACAACCTCGAGCCCAAGGCGTAAAATCGAATTTCTTAGCTTACTTTAACTAGCCTGAATTTCTGCTTCGCGCGACAAAAACCCTTCACATTTCACTCAGTAACGGGTAATGAGATGTACGTCTACATCTGATGCACTTTTCTTTCCCACTGATCTATCTGAGGTGAAAGATAACCGAGATTTGCAAATGTTTGTGAGAACAAAGCTAAAATGAGTGAGCTAACTATCTGCAGTTTAGTGTGCACAACTGAGTAGTGACTTTATACGGAGAAAAGCAGACGAGTATGTAGGGCTTGTCCCCTTACCTACAAATAGGATATCACGGTAGCCTCGTAATCCGGGTATCGTCAGCAAGGCAGCACTCAACTTTCAGATTGTTTGGGACCGGAAAAACGTGTTTCAGCATTCTTGAATGTCTGCAGCGTTACTCCGAAAACAATGTTCATTCCACTTTATCTTTAAGTGCTCTACCATATTCACCCCACCTCAATGGCAGACAGTAGTGCGTTGTTCAGTGGTAATCCTTTTCACGCCGGCCTATTTCCAGACGACTTCAAAAGCGGACCAGATACCCAAGAGTCTGATTTTTTTTATAGCAAAACTACGCAAAACACAGGTAACAGAGACGCTAGACCATGCGGGTGCTCAACTATGTGATGCTGGGGTGGTGGTGGTGCCAAGGCGCATGATCGTTGTTTCGTTAGGTCAGCAAATATTTATTGGTTGCCATAACGACAATCTTTTAAATGATGAATTAGTGGTATGAAAAGTTATGTTTTATCAAAACACACTCACCACAACCATATGGTTTCTAAAATCACCTAAAAAAAGGTTCTCCCAATCGGCGGGCATGAATTCGCACGAAATTCGCTGGAGCTCGTTTTGAAACCAATGCTACCCAACTAGTATTACCTTCGAACCCTCACTCTGTCGTTCGCGAAATGCATGTCACACACAGGCTTTGTTTTCATCGAACGAGTCCAAATAACATCATATGGGGCATCCAATGTGTTACAGGGGATTTTCCACCGAGATTTTTTATAGCATGCTCCTTTCAGGAGATAGAGTATATCTTAAGGGTCCAATTGTATATTCCAAACTTTTAGACGCACCAGTGATCGACATCATTCTAACTGAGGCAGTTGAGACAACCCATCCGCCTAGGTCAAGTTTATCAATGTCACGATTTCTGTTCACACCAGCTGGGTACAGAGTGCGCTCAAGGTCACAACAATGGGTTTACGTGCGGATCAAGGCTTACATTCTAGAGGTTGTTGCAACCGCGTCAAACTTAGGGAGAACATTGAAAAGGAAAACACTTATCGATCCGCCTCAAGGGTTGGCCTCACGAACATGTCTACAAGATGTGCATAATGTTGTCACTCACCCATCGCTGCGACACCCATCGCTTTTCGGCGTTGATGAAGTCTCGAGTAAAAACTGTACAAAGTACAGGTGGCATGTCTTTCGTTCGTTCACTATATGTGACATATTTGTTGCCTACTGCGTTACTTGGAAACAGAATGGGTGAGGTGTCGCTGTAGAATTCTCTTTATTCAGGGTACACGTGAAGTCCAGAAGGAAACGGATAAGCGATTCCATTTAATATGGAAGGTTGCCACCGATGAAGCATGCAATCTATAAACAATGTTAAAAATGCGCACAAGCCATTCACCTGCTGTACGCACATAAAAGTGGGATGCAAGCTGGCACAGAGAGTCTAATGTGCAGCTGAACGTTTGCTTCACTTGTTTGGGCATCTACTCTCGTTCGTGATCTCATGGCAAACGGCTTGTCACTTTGAAGTGTGGTTTACAAAACATCACACTTCATAGTCGAACGTCTGAACTCATGTCACTGAGCTCCTTCTGACTGTTCCGAATTTTCCCGTTGAGCAAGACACGCAAGAGAAACTATATAAATCAAAATGAAACAATCTTCACTGACAGATGTGAAAATACGCTTCATTGAGCCTCCCCCCTCCGAAGAATTGAATTGAGCTCTGATACCCACCCTGATTGGGTTCATTGCTGAGTTGAGTCAATGGAAATTGAGTGACATAATCAAACAGATTTCGTTTCAAACATTGCCTCTGTAATGTATCGCGATTCCGTATTGATTTTAATGAGCACCGGTTTACTGAAACACGCGTGGTCATCAACTTGTCATCCATGGTATGAACGTAGTGAGCAGATCATTCCAGCAGCACTCCAAACACTTGTCAGGAGGAAACAACACTACAGCCTTTGCACCCGCTGATGCAAGCAAGCATATGATTCTAAATGATAAACTACAGCTGGACGGCAGAATGAGAAGCTTCAATGAAACATATGGTTGACATTCTTAAGTTAAAGATGCAAGTTATCTGATATGACGAGATCACAGATAGCCTTCAATGAAGCGGTGAGGTAAAGTGACCGAGCTGATATACTTTCAAACCCTGCGTAAACGATTTCAGTCAGTTTCGTTATGCATACCAATAGGGATGAATAGCATGTCATCTGACTACGTAGGTTAAACCGACAAGAATATGTTTGTGGGAACCAAAAAACGTTTGGGACCCGAAGTTGTTCGTGCGCTAACAGTAGATATAAAAAACATGAAAGTAGGCAGATGAACGAATTTGTACCATGTAGGGTTCTCATGTAAAATAGGAATCAATGGATCTACTCACCTCGGCAATCTGGCGCGTCTGGATGTGTTTCACTGTAATACCGCATCAGGCGTTCGAGTGTGACACGATACTGAAGCAACCGGTGCATGGGTTTGAGCAGAAAGACGTAAAATGGCAGGTAACAGATTTTTTGCGCTTCAAATTGTCGTAACTGTTGCTCCAGTTCCGGGTTTGACCTCAACGCCTCCTCGATGAGTAACATAACCCGCTCCGCGTTCGTCATGAATCGCTGATAGAACTGTTTGATGTGAAATAGAGATAGACTACTAAGTAGGCACAAAGTAGTCTGAAAAATATCTCACACACACTGGTTTGTAGCCGCTGGGACGCATTGAACGAGCACTAGGGCATCAAACAAGCTTGATGGGAGTCACCTTGGGGCTTTACATGGCTAGGATACCACTTCACGTGAAAAAAATCTAGAAAAAATTTACTTCAATCCACCGTCAAAGGAAATCCACAATTTTGTCTACTGGGTGACTCACCTGCTGGATGACATTCATACATACTTCACAACTTTGTTGAACCATCCTTTCCCTGGCCCAATCATTCCCGTGAGTTCAAACCAAAATGTAAGCAAGGTTACCTGTTCAGACGTGACATTTCAGGCAATTGATTCCCATATGTGAGAAACTCATGCTGAACTCTTCATTGGAACTCTTTGGTGAGAACTCAGGATAACAATTCCGTCAAGACAGCAGGAAGAGAGTTCGATCGAGTGGTGTGAATGCAAGTTCCATAAATCCCACAAACGCCCACAACTGAGTGACGGTCACAATGAATATAGTGGTCTTTTCAACCACCCCAGGGGCTATGACTGACAGATTTTAGGTAGAAGTTAGTTCACCACCGAACACCTTGTAGTATGTTCCACCTTGCTCTCCAATCTTCTGATACATATTGAGGTCTTTAACAGTTGTTAGTGACTTAGACAAGGAACACTGTGAAGTATAACAAAGAATGCCTACAGAGCATTTTTGATCTGACCCTAGCAAACCTTCCGACCAATCGGTACGCAGTACTTTAGCAGCATTTCAATCCAGGGTTTGGTCGCCTTTCGTTCGCAAGTTCATGCGACAACTACATGTGATGCCGCTGTTGCTTAGACTGAAGAGCCGTTAATATTATAAAAAAAATTTGAAAGTGGCTCTGTGACCCTTCCTAAACTGTGAAAAGGGAGATATATAAAACCATAGGATGATTCAATGTGGACTCCTACCGGATAACTCAGATAACTTCGTCCCGAATCCGTGTTCACAATGTAAGTTTAAGTTATTCACACAGTTTGCGCAAGAGAACTGCACTTGACTAGAGTTGATCATTGCTAAGCTGTTTGATCGGAAAGAAAAGGGTATGTTTCCAGGTTAAAAGCGAGTCCTGACCCCATAGAAATGCTGCACCGATCGACGAATGGCACCAAGTAAACAGACTACTCCCAAAAAACTTCACCCATGCCACGGAACAACGGTACGCAAATTAGGACTGGTAGTGCGTCTGTACAGGCTGTTGTAGTGTTGTCATACCTCTGAATTGGCCCCTTCGCTACAAAGTACACGCTTCGTATACCGTTTTCCAACCAGATTGACACCGCTCATCCTAGGGGCACTTTACAGGGTGAGCAAGTGCAGCTGACTGTGTGATGCGACCAAATGAACTGATCAGATATCCTAGACACATGTCCAATATAAGTTCCTATGTTTCACATTCCGCGCGACAAAAGTGTCTAGCAGGGGGGCAGAGCGCAAAATACACGCGCGCATTTTTCGCCAACAGCTTTAGCCCAGGTTGGACTTGTCCTGGTCTACCTGAGGACAGTAATTGAAAAGCAAACATTAGCTGGCATTACAAGGCTGAATCAGCGCCCCGATGCAGGGGACCAATGGAATAAAACGCGGCTCCGTTTGCACACCAGCAGTTGGGAGGCCAAAGGGCATTGCTTAGCAAGCAATGTATTTTGGAGACTACAATGAGGACGAAGGAAGGAACTTGGGTGAAAACGTCGCCAACAAAACTGGGTATTAGTGGAAGACATTAATGATTCCCCAAAAACCTAAGTGACTGAGTGTTACCGTGTTGAACGGGATTCCCCAAGTGTCCTGTTCTGTGGAGACAAACTGATTTTATGGACAAAGCTTGATGACAACTGACTCCACGGCTAACGTCACACATCTGAAGTGAAAGAATTTGTGTGAAAGGTTGTGCTGACCAAAGTTTGGTCTTAAGCGGTGTTCTGGAGCAATGATGCAAACGTCGTCGAATTTCCAATAGCGTACAGGTCTGGGAACCGAGTGCCATGCAACAGAATCACATGGTATCCATGCAAAATTAAGTAGACATGAGGTCCCTCCACATGGCTATGGGGCATTTATTCGTATGTATGAGGAGTTGCCGAACTTCCGTTTGTTGTGGACACCACAGATATCCTCGCTACATGTCACCAAAGTCTGCGGCAGATCCTCGATGGAATCCGCAGGTGCACTTGGTCCATCAGTCTAGAGAGCAACACCTGAAAAACTGAAGCTTCTTCTCTGTCACCACTCAACTCTGCCGAACCACTTACAACAAATGACATAGTCGAAAAATGTTTACGAGTTTGAATGTCCGCAATCAACTACACTTGCAAACGGCCAGGCCAGCAACAGTCACAATCTCCTTAGAAAATACCCACGCAAGACGTGAAGAATGTATTGTGACACAGAAAAGAAGACCGAGGAATGGTCTCTGGGTACGTCCTCAGCTCCGTCTATCGGTCGAAGAGGTCCACCATCGATGCTTTAGCATCGTTCGATATGGACAGGTAATTTGACAGTCCTACCCTGATGGCGCGGACACACTTTTTTGTCGTACATGATCACAACTATCCTCACTTCGAATTCGTGCCAAAACTGGCGTTGTCATTGAAGCGATCAACTAGATACCCAGAACGGCACTGCCCCTTAAGATGAATGACTCAGTCTGCACGCTGTCGTTGGAACTAACCTTATATCAACATCTGTGAGAGGTTTGTCACCAACCATCGTGCTTGAGCTACTTGGATTTTAAAACATTAGGAAGGCAGCTAAACCTCAAGCATGAGATATGCAGAGCAAAGTGAGTAGTGGTATTCGTAGTAGGCCGATGGAAGCTATATTCTTCCGCATGTACCCTGGTCATGTAGCGCTAGCTATATCACGTTGACCACAAGGCGCGCATGCCATCCGCCCTCTCTAATCAGTGGACTGGCAAAGCGTGTAGCAAATGGGATGTCAGGTCATCTAGTGGATGCCAACAACAGCCGAACAGATAGTAGCCCCGTTAACTATTCCTTGATTAATTGGATCTCCGTGTGTTGCGGTTCGCGGAGGCAGTTGCTATCGGGACTCCAGATGGCTTGGAACGTGGCCCTTACAAATTTCGGATTGTGAACGTTACAGCAGTCGTGTGCAAACGTCAGGATACATACATCAGTTTGACCTTTTACCATCCCATTCGCTACGCGTTCGGTAACAATAGTGAGTTATGTCCATAATCAAGATTGGCTTATTGTTGAACATAATGAATTTCATAGAAATTTTGATAAAATTCAGTACATGAAGGAGGTTATCAGTGAATATGGAGGTGGAGCCTTCGTTGATGATATTACATGCACCCAAGTACGTAGACAATGGAGAAATACTTACCGGAATCATACTTAGATGCGACAGAAAGAGATCACCGATACAGTAAGTAGACGACTGTTGCTCAGCTACCGGGGACAGGGGCAGCGGATGAATGCCCGTCGACGGCCTGTTGGACAAGTCATCGCTGATTTTGCGTCCGTTCCAGCTGTTTACCCTAGCTTCAAAATCAGCCAAGAGCTTTTGATGTTCCACATAGATGGGATCGAGCAAATCAAACAGTTCTGTGGCCAAATCGTTAGGAAGACGAGCCTGATGGACGTCTGTGCAGGGTGACATTAGTTCATCGTCCAGACAAGTCAGAGAATGCCGAAAGCACTGGAATGTACAACAACGAAAAACAGAGTTAACATGAGAAACCAATACATCTTCCCCTTTAATTTGAGGTATTAAATTCGCAGATCCTTTTTGCAAATGTGCACAAATGGCAAAAGATACTTCAGTCACCCGGTGATCTGGGATCTGACGTCAGGTAGGAGATTATGTCACAAAGTTATCGGAATAGTAAGCGAGATGGGATGCGTCACACCTGACAGATTGAAACTTCCATTAAACGTTTCCTGCTGTTCTTTTCCCTTGACGTGCATGTCCACCAGAGGCGTAATGTCTTCGCTGACGAAACGGAGACATAGAGGGGAACCGTTGGTTTTGTGCAGTGTGCGACATGACTACTGCTGTTGTGGCTACCGTAACACTAACTTAGGAACGATAAAACAACAATACAGGAGCACTCTGGCAATCTCGTCCCAACGAGATGCCCAGATAGCTTGAGACGATGTAGGTGCGCTGCTGTTAGCTATTATCCCTATGGACATAGGGACTGTTTCAATGAGTCTATAACCCTCCTCCTTTTCATCTTTCAATACAATCTTCCTCCTCTATGATTAAAAGGCAATTAAACACCACGTTTCAACGCCTGTGTAATGGTGTCGCTGATATGTTACATATTTTCAAACCTGTCGAAAGTACTGTCTTGCAACTGTACCAGATTTTGCGCACCACGATTATTTAGATCTTTTTCCATCAAAGGCATTGTCTTTGAATGAATCTGCGCGTGGACGTTACCAGGTCCCCAGATTTGTCATTAATCATTAACCATACAACGGGATTCAACTGGAAAAGGGGTCTACAAATGCGTCTATAGGACTTTCGATACCTGTGCCAAGCAACAGGAATCTTTCACGATCCTTTGCCATAACCTCAAATTAGCTTGGTGTTCTGCAACATGTGTCTCCGCTCCTCTATCCGTCATAATGAGCCACATGTCATTATTAGAAGTGTGTATCCTAAAGCAAGTATTTTCGGCTTTCATAGATTGGGTTCTCCAAAATTTGGCACCAACGATTTAAGAGGTAAGAAGTTCTCGTTGCAACTACTTAATTTTTCTGGTTTTCATCTGTTCTGGATGGTTGCGTGACGCCACGTGAGACGTTTTTTTCGTAGAAAATTTCAAATTTCGGTACGACTTCGTTATGTTGCAACCAGTTTGGGGTTTCTTGTAACAGGTGAATCACTAACTGCAGTAGAAAAATGACAGGGCATTGCCTTTAAACAGCTGTTTGATCTTGGGAATTCTTTGGAAAAACTAAAGCAAACTCATGGTTGAAAAAAAAAACGAAATGTACCCAGGCCAACTTCAAAATGCAGCATTTCTGAAATGAAGCAATTTTAACTTAAGTACTTCCTGTTTCACTCTGAAAATCCACCTTTCACTTTGGCTGATGTCCCGGTTGTGTTGATTCTGTGTTCACATTTGTGGAAAAACCTGGTAAGGAGGCAATTTAAAGTTGGGTATTCAAGTTCAAATAGTCCTTATCGTGAATCGAACTGCAAAAGTTGGAGGCTAATTGTTTGTTGGAAATCCAGGGGTTCTTCCCTTGTGGCTGACTATATTCAACAGTCTACTTCACTTGGGTTGATCCAGATCCATGCTCTAGAGCCCGATAATTTGTCAGTGGTGCCTTTAAACAAGCTGCCGAACAGTTCCAGTTCTTTTGGGTCTCAGAGACCAGTCTATCCGTTTGCACGACCTAGCGGATCAGCACAGTTGGACATAGCAACGGCGGTTGGCGCGGCCTGTCTCTAAGTCGTCCCAAGTGGATGTCAGGCACGACCAAAAGCTGACAATTAAAGTACGTTAAGCATTTATCAAAAAAACTTGCTCATGCGCACCTAATTGAAGAACGTGTACGCTAATGCCTAATGTAGTGCATCCGGTGACGCCTGTCGTGCTTGATTTCGTTTATCTAAAGTATTCTTATGGTGTTTTTATCTCGTTCATTCATCTTACAATACCACGTCAAAACATGCGAAAACTGCCAAGAATTCTGTGCTCAAACTTCTTCCCTCACTGTAACGAAAATAGCCAACTGCGATTGGTCTTGTGTTCGCTTGTCTGTCAAACGAACCAAACACGCAACCGGATCGATTGGCAAAAAATTTAGGCCAAAGTATTAGGGACTGGCGAACGCGACTGTTCATTTTCCGCGTAATGCCGATGACTAGGGTGTGGTAACGGTGCGATCCCATCAGGCCAAATTGATCACCAGCTGATGTGTTGCTAAGCCCCAGGACTGCCAGTATGACCGCATTGCTGGCACATATTCACCGTTATTTCGGTTGATACACAGGATCCAAGTGACTAAAAGAAATCTGGCTGTGACCAGAGGTCACCTGATCATCTGACTTCGGCGTTCCTCCCCTTAATATCTGCCAGTTTTTCTCGTTGCTGACATCATGCGGTGCTTAGTCCATCAGATGGTCTTAGGGTTGTGTTCTTGACCCAGAATGAGCATACGTACTAAGATAAGTTGGCTCAACACTGATTGGAAAGACTCGACTCAGGCTGCTACGAAAATGACAATCGGAGCGACTGCCTAGGTGTGAGTTCCTTCTGTTGATATGACAAACGCAAGCAAGCACCTGCAGATTATCGAGCCAGAAAGAAAGGACCATGATCCTTATGTGAACTCTGCATAACGAAAGCGTAAACTGGCAGAATAAGGATTCCGTTCTCTATAATTTATTATACTCCTAACAAATACTGTCTCAACACGACTGGCTATAGGCTTCGGATTTTTACTGCCCCTTAGGGTTCGATATCACAACACTCTGTGCTTCAATATACTGTGTTGAATGACCGAAGGTAAGATTAGGTGGCAAGGTTGAACTATGAAATTTTCGAATGACTTACATCCGAGAACACCAAACTGATTCCAAAACAGCTGGGAACTAAATATCCGATGCCTGAGCCAGTAGCTCAGTGGAGTCTGGTGGAGGTCAAGTTATGTGGGATGCACTCCATTCAGACTTGACTGCCCAGACATCACATTTTCAATAGCTTCGCGGTCTTGTGGAATACTCTGGTGGTCACCGCTTGATCACATTTGGGTAATGGTGGGATGTCAACGACCCTTACGCTCTCCATTCACGAGAACCCACTGATCTCACATCAGCCAAACAACTACATAGACTGGTAATTTGTTGAAACATTGGTAGCTCGGGTGAGTTTATTGGTTGTTGATCAGGTGGCTGTTGATCTGTTCGCCGAGCTTGGCAATTGGCTTGCAAACGTTTCGTCACCATACGAGGAGACGTCATCAGTTCGCAGTTGAGTGGGTACTTCTTCCTTGCCTGCGTGCATTTAGAGACTAGCTGCTATCTCCTAACGTGTTTGGCTAGTTGGTTGACAGCGTTTTTACTGCATTCATTGGTCCGTTTGTGATCTGTATCGCGTTGTGATTTGCGTTCCTTCAAGTCGATTGGTTGTCCTAAAGACTCCTATTTTTAGTAGTTTCGCCCCCGTTCTGATAGGTCTACTTCTCCACTTGTATTACGTTGTGATTGGGCTTTACTTTTTCGGCCTCAAATTTAATAACCCGTCCAAAGATAAAACTCATTTTTGCACAGCACTGAAACTTTCTGTAATAACGCACCTACCTAAATGGTTCAGTCTTTCTTTGATTCTATCCTTGTACCGAATCTACAGTTCGCAAGGCACGAAATTTGTGTCACTGCGTTTATGTGCCTATCCTTTCTACTTACATATTTTCAACATGCTGACCGGACTGTACTACAATTTGCAAGTGGTATACTTGCAGCCACCATTCTGAAGGCATAGAGTAGTGCTTTAAATTACCTGAAATACTACTTACTGATGACCTATTGGCTCCCAAGTAGACAAATAAAACACCATAATCCGAAACAATTATCGCCCAAGTGCGTTGGAAAAGTTAACGTGAAATTACACTAACTATTCTACTGTTTGATCACAAAACTAATCGTTTAAAAGAGCCAAACCTTCAACAGTTCCATGTTTTCAATCAATTGGAAAATGTTTGGGACCGATTAGGTATTGTCTGAAAGTTCAATGTTTTCCTTTGCCAGCAAGATGATACTCTTGATAGGTTTGAGTGTATGCATATGAGGTTTATAGTGACCATTGTAGATGAAACAAGCCTTGAGTTCGAGCAGAAACGGTTGCTGCTCAGGCCAAATGCGCAATGCAGACACGCGAACTGACCATCTATTGACTGTGCGAACCATCTCGATCAGACATGCAATGAACAAGATCAGGCGGTCACTAGGGCTAACAACCAAAGCTTAAAACCTCAAAAATGTGGGGGAACGCAGGTTCCCATTTTTCGCATCAATCTATCGACCGGAACCAGAATGCATTTAGTTCTGTACGAATTCGAGTGGTCTTCCATAGTCGTGGTTACAATGACCCGCTAGGTGAGCCAATCCGTTTGACGAATCAGTTCAGCTCAGTCCGATATACGTGAACCATGCACGTAGATACGGTGAGTTGGATCATCGTGCTCCGCAAGGCAAAAGATCAAGTGAACTGAGAAAAATAGGCAACTGTTTATGTCTAGCCGAACATCATAGCTGCCACATATAATTCCAGATCGTTGTTTTTTTTATAGAAAAAAACAGATAGAGTGTGGATTTAGTGGACATGCGAAAAAAACCGAGATAGAGTGGGATTTAGTGGACATGCGAAAAAAACCGTATCTCATACGGTGAGGCACTGACCTGTGGGATTCCACTAGTACAGATGCGTGGGTGTTCGGAAGAGATTTCGCGGATTAAGATTACCAGATGAGAACTTCTTATGATGACGTCATACATGTGGGCTGCATCGACTATTGAATTAGCTGTTCTGGAATCAATAGGGATGAAGTAGAATTCAACGGTCTGCTCAGATAGTCATAAACGGCCAGCTATCAGTGGTGGGCTTTGTGGACACGTAGTTCGCAGATTATATTTGCTTGAGTTTGTGAACCATATTCGGTTGAGTTCGCAATCGAAATACGGATATTGGCTTGCCAAAGTTATCTGCTTCCCTACGGAGTCTATAAATGCACACGATATCTGTCAATGCAATTCAAGTAGGCGCAGTGAACTACACAACTCAACTGGAGATTTTCATAGGCCCCGTAACTTATTGAATTAACCCTGATTTAGTCTATGACAAAAATGCAGATTTTGACCTTGAATTTTGTAAATAACGGCAATGCCTCCAGGTACTGTGTCTCCAGGGTAGCGCCTTCAGAAGAACGGCGACTAAGGGTACACTGAATGTACTGAAGTCGAAAAACCGACACCAGTTATCGTATTTAAAGTGTCTGCAGCCGGAAGACTGAAAAGTTGAACGTCTTCTGGAGGCATCACCGGCAATTGGAAAACAAAACAGATCATGAGGTGCATATTGGAAAGCCGTTGAATGCTCTCGACTCGATGCCGGAGAGGCCGGTGGCCCGGATCCTTTGACCAATCACACGCGAGTTTAGTTTACTGGTTGTTGCAGCGTTCGCCAACGAACGACAGGTGTCCTTTCCGCGTGACACTTACACGAAGCACTCTATATAAGGTAGGTGGGTGCAGACATTGTCTTCCTTGTTGGTTTTGATTCACTTTGAGCTGGGTGTACACCAACTGACGGATTCCCCTCTCAACCTCAGTTATATTCTGAATTTCCAAGTTAAATTTTTATCCACTCATTTGTGTATTTGTGTGTGAATTTTCTCCTTGCGAGCCATGCGAACTGCCATGTTGTGGTTAGTGATCTTTGAGCGTAAATGTCAAAAACATCGGGCAGTTGGTCCGATTGGCCCAACAGACCCAAGAAGCTGTCCAGTGACCGGTAAATTACGAGGGAAGCAAACACATAAAGGATGAAATTATAAGATGGATAATGTTGTTTATCACCTTTGAACTTACCACACAAACAACGCTCAGATCACGTCCGTAGGTACGTTCCGTCATGACTAGATCACAAATTAGTTGATAAGCTGTGTCTGAACGATGACGAATCTGAAAAAACACGAAACACCAGCAAGAATTACACCAAACCACGTAGGTGCAACTAGAAACGGGAATAAATAATCTCCAAACAATCTGTTGATGCGTTTATACTTGTTCGCCCTTCATCTGTCCCGATAGAGTTGACTGAATGGTCATATCTAATGCCTCAACAGTTTCTCAGTTGATTCCTTCAACCCAGATGCACAGTTTCGCGCTTTTGGCACCAACGAAGGATGGTAGAAGTGTCTGTGTGATCACGCCATTTTGGAAGAAAACGTACTATCCTATTAGTACTCACATCCAGAGGGCTGGAATGCTGGTGAACTAGGTGGGGCGAGATGACTCAGATGGTTGTCACTGACTGGGAGGTCCGTGGTTCGAACCCGACATCTACGTCTCGACTTCCCCTGTTTAGGCTTGGGCAACCCGGCAGTTTCACAGCCCTCGTGCTTCCTTCGGGTGGCATGTTAGCTAGGCACCGAAAGGATATTACAGCTGTGGTCACAGGTGGATAGGGGAAATGAGGTAAGTGGCTTAAGGAAGAAACTTTGACAACTGGGGTAAGAAAACCAAATAATAAATCCAACTGCTGTATTCGTAGCCTCAGTTAGCATCACCAAGTACTCACCGGCGACTAGACCATACTCAAAACGGGTCAGGTGGAGACAGTCCGACAATACTATTTCATATATGCGCTGCTCTCAATAAAGGTTCTACAGGGAGAGATCAGGCATCACGGGACCTAAATGAACAGCGGGATACCATATCTTCTGATAACTTCCGACTCCTTCCAGAAAATTCTCCCCGACACATTTAGCTAGTTCGCCGAACGTATGTTCAGAATTACTAAGAAGGTAAGATCGTAAGGATAAAAACCACTGTTTTGGAAATCTCGCACTGAATTTGTTCAAAACATGTTCCTAGCCTGTATCGGAGAAGTGACCCTGCTAGCGATGAGTCATCTGGAGTGTCTAAGTTTGGAGTCATTCGATACGGTATCAGGAACCTCTGGAAAATCTCATCAGTTCTTTCGGAATCTTGAAGTACTTGGTTTCGAGTATCTCCTCTCTGCAATCTGAAACTTTAAATATAAGCGGATAAACGTTGTAGCTGTACGGTATTGAATCATGTGTCCACAATGATGATGACGATGATCAGCCTTCAAAAGGACAGACTATTATGTAGCCGTCGTTTAAAAGTGACGATATTTCGACCAGAATAGCTTAAATGCACTGAATTAACGCACGTTTCAAGCAGCCCACCTGGTATGTCTAAAGGGAACAAGAAAATGCCCCTTTTGGTAAGTAAAAGATAGTCTATCTATTCTGAATGTGTCTACAAATGTGCGTACGTGTGGAAGCACGTATGCAGTTAGACCAGAAAGGCAGTAGAAAGGTGCGTCAAAACATCTGTAGAAAAACGGCTTCTTCCAGGTCCTGATAAATAGCTCAGGAAATCCACAACCAAAAATCTCCCGGAAAAAAATTGCACTGGAACTCTGGTTGCGTTTTTGGAATGTCAACCGCCAGTATCCTGCGTTGCGTACAAGCTGTAATAATCAAGCGACTGAGCCCGAACCTGAGTGTGTTTTGACATCGGTTAAAGCCAACGGACAGAACTTATACGTTTTGAGTCATCCTCTCCGCCTACCCATAACCTCGAATCACTTTTGCAGTGGAATATTAGCCATACTCTCGCTTAACTTCTTGCTTTTTGACTGGATCCATACTTTTGTGTCCATACCACAATTCCTTGAACATTCGCGAATTTCGACTTCAAACCTTTCCCATATCCATTCCATGCTGCTTAGTTATTCTCACAGAATTACGTATTGTACTGACATGTATGAGTGACCACCCAGGAAAACTCATTGATATCCTGACAAACCGAACCGTATACGAACAAACAAAAACCAACGCGTCACCTCGACAGTGGACCAGGTGTTGATTTCGTCATGATACCCAAAGGGTATTGGTTTGAATAGAGATGAAGAACAAAAGACTTTGACAGATCCTGAAATGCGAAGCTCCGTGCCTGTAGTGTGGACGAACAGACAGGAATCAGGGAAGCGTGGCCTACCAAATGAGCAACCCGGAGACAATCGCTTCACGTTACAGTTATACACTTGAATTTTACACACCTTTAACTAATAGGTTAACAGCTGATGTCTATAGATTTCTGTTCGGTCTAATCTTTCACACTATGCACACTGGGACTGCGAACTTTCAAGACTTAAGAACTAGATTGCTCTTTGTCAAAGTACACAGGAAACTTCTGCCTAGATTGAACAATGCAGCCAAGACAGTAGAGTATCGTTCGGAGACATGGAATAGAAATTTCGTAATGTACTACTCATAAGGTTGCTGAAAATCCATCGAGAACATCCTGAGAACATCATAAACGGGAGATTCAGCTGGGTTCCAGGTGAGTCTCTCGAAAGAATCAAATTAATTTGCAGATGAGTGTATATTGACTAGAAATTTCATTACAGTACACCAGTTAGGCGAACAAAACAGGGGACTGAATATCCGGTGGCTTTGTACGCACTTCAGCCTGATTACGGCTGTATGTCCTTTGAAAACGTTGTGTAAACCTGATGGGTATTCAGACCAAGTTAATTTGATCTGTACACGCGCTCAATCTGTGCTAAACGAACCGAGTTGAAAATAGAACGTCTAAGTGGTGCGCATTTGTGGACAAAAATGAAAATTGTAACGGTGTATCTCCGATTCGATTACCTGGTGGACAAATTAGCTTCTTCAATTGCCAGTTGTCTTTGATGCAAATGAGAAGAAACTTCAGATGAAAGGTCTCTGTCTATTTGGAGAGCTCCCGTGGGAATAGTAAATCTTGAAAGACAACGATTTTTTGACCGCCGAGTTCGTTCGGTCTGACATGGATTTTAAAACCGAGCGAATTCACGGTTGTTAATAAGGTTTAAGCTGGGGTGAAGTGGCAGAAGTTCTGTGCCAATTTGATTCTTAACGGCTGCGGACTTGTTCACGCAGTTCAATTACTGAAAAATAGTCTTGTCTAAGTAGTTGTCAATCCTGGGGGAGTAGGAGTACTCAGTCATAGACTAGGAATGTCAACGGATGTCTTTGGGAGCATGCGGTTTTGACGTTGAGACCCTATTTATTTACTGGGATTCAACAGACAGGCTTAGAGGGATTGAACATGCGGTCTTTCTGTTAGCTTGGGCGACCTGGCAGTATCCGAGCCCTCCCTCACCCTTCATGGGGCAGGGCGGCTAGGCCCTGAAAGAGTGCAACCGCCACAAAGAAGAGAGTACAGATGTGACAAGTGTTGTTTTTAGCTTGATTTCCACGGATTATGGTGTTCTTTTTCAATTTGGGTTTGAGTAGAACCTAAGGTTGAGGAAAGCTCGGGGACTGAACCTACTTAGTAAGTGTTCTTTTTAGCGAAATACTAATCTGGTTATCACAGGAGGCCCATCTGAAATCCGGCTGGATCTCTCCTTTATGATGTTCTTCAGTTTGGGCTCCACTAGAAGATGAGGTTCAGGGAAACTGAGTGACCGCACCTATCTGGCTAGTCTCAAGAAGGGCTTCGGAGAGTTTTTAGCAACCTTATGAGTAGTATATTAGGTGTTCTTTCTAAGTGAAAAGGAAACCCGCTTTCGTACAGCTGGACGATTTTTTCTTTCTGTTAGCAGTTTCCGGTTGTTGAAGCTCACATGTCAAGTCCCAAAGGGGACGAAATGCCCTCTGTGGACACGCAATCTGAATCCGAACACAACCTTATAGTGAACACGCTAGTAGGATGAGGCGTTTGAGATCTTTGATTATTTCACCAAAATTACTAGGTGAGTGTGGTCTATGCAAAGCAAAAAAACATAGTTCCGACGAAGCCTACGTAACTAGAGCGCTGAGGTTATCTATCGCGTGAGTGGCCCGCGCAAATTGGCACATAACACAAATGACTACGACCCATTGGAATGCAAAAAGACGAGTGTTTTGGGTAGGCGAGGAATGTGCACAAACAACCGCCACAAAGAAGAGAGTACAGATGTGACAAGTGTTGTTTTTAGCTTGATTTCCACGGATTATGGTGTTCTTTTTCAATTTGGGTTTGAGTAGAACCTAAGGTTGAGGAAAGCTCGGGGACTGAACCTACTTAGTAAGTGTTCTTTTTAGCGAAATACTAATCTGGTTATCACAGGAGGCCCATCTGAAATCCGGCTGGATCTCTCCTTTATGATGTTCTTCAGTTTGGGCTCCACTAGAAGATGAGGTTCAGGGAAACTGAGTGACCGCACCTATCTGGCTAGTCTCAAGAAGGGCTTCGGAGAGTTTTTAGCAACCTTATGAGTAGTATATTAGGTGTTCTTTCTAAGTGAAAAGGAAACCCGCTTTCGTTTTAGAGACTAAACTTGGAGGGAGGTAGTACTCCCGTCTGTTCTGTAATCTTACGCATGCAACGTTTTCTGCCAAAATGAATGAATAGATCTCATCCGAACTGAACGTTTAATGATTTCATCATTGCCATCCTAAAAGTTTAATGAACTGACCAAAAAGGGAGACAATAATGCACCAGAATCATTCACACTATTTACATCACCTTAAGTCCACTCAAAAATTCAAACGGTCACGAACAACTTACAAGTCGCCCAGAGGAATGTGAACGACGGGGCTGCGTTGAGAATAGTATGGAATCAGCACCACCGTTGCAAATCTCAGTGCTGTTCCCCTGAGTAAGCTCATACGGTGCAGCCTCCGTAGCTGGGTCGGTTACCAAATGGCATCTTGACGAGTGAGGATGTCGTAGTCGATGTCTGTGCCTGTGTCGACAGGATGCAGACCGTGATCTCAGCGTGCTACGTTGACTACAGACGGAATAGTGATCATCGTCCTCCTCGTCATCAGCAACACCATGTCCTCCACCGAATGAGCTATCCAAAAACAACGAACGCCTGACAATGGATTTTTCTGTATCACTCTGGCTTCCGCCTTCGTTGATGATCGCTTTTCTGCCGTCTGACTCATCATCATCCGTACCATCGGACGTCTCCCTTCTGGTTGTCGCACATAAGCTACGTGTGCTTAGGGTACTGTGACCGCGACCAGCCAAACTTAGACACGAGGCAGAGTGCATCCCATTTGGTCCAGTGATCAACCCCATTGCCAGGGGGTGGGGCATCTTTGAATTTGTGGGCGGAACTTCATCTTCTGCCCCGGAATCCAGCATGTTGGCTACCTTCTCCGCTGAGGACGGGCCATGTGAGGAAGGCTTGGGTGACAGCCCTGGATCTGCGCTTAACGACGAGCGCTGACTTGATGCCGTTTGGATTCGAGGTAACATACTGTCTCTGCGCTGAAAAAGATAACGAAGTATAGAGATATTTAGTAATTGGGAGTTAGAGCGGATCTCAAAGTTCCCCCAAAACACCTTGCCGTTTGGACTCGATGAAATGAATGTAAGAATCAATCAAGCGATTAATAACGGAAGGACTGGCCAAGTGCACGTCGATCGCACTGAATTCAAAATGATCTTCGACTAACAATATGGTAGAGTGATGAGCGGCTCGACAGTTCCCGTTTCACAGTCCTAGTCAGTTCGGTGAGCTTCTTCTTGGTCTTTTCCCAGCTTAAAACCAGCTGAGTGGATACTCATTTTTCGGCAGTTTCAGTTGCGTTCCAGCCTGTCTATCCAGCAGAGTGAGCAGAGGGAATCTTTTCTATCGCCTGGATATTTTTGCGCTTTGATAAATTACCACGCCTCATAGTCGACGGATTTGAATAGGTTAGGTGGGTGAGATTTTGTTGAATCGTGCCCTACTGCTTAATACTTAATCATTAAAATGCTGAAGACGAACACTTGAACCAATACAAACGGTGCTCGTATCAATCTTGGAGAAATTGCATGAACATGTTCGAGGAGCCGGCCTGTCAGCTCGTAGAAGTCAGCTGATTCAAGTAAGTCAGCAAAGTTTGCACATATTGAAACGTTGATTTTTCGGAAGCAGTCCTGATGGTGAAGACCGATGTTGTGTTCAGACCAGACCTTATCAACGTTTCTATCTCGTCTAAATTTTTTCCCACCAATATTCGTCTGTCCCGTAGAACAAACGGGAAACCTGAAAATATCAACCTAGGATAGGTCGAAGCACTTGGAGTGGCAAACCAATGGAGTCGCGTTAGTTGAGGCAACAAGGTCGCAATGTAGACACAGTGTAAGACCAGTATCGTCACCAGAGACAGCAACATCATTGCTGAAACTGGTGTCTCGCTCCCATGCAATCAAAAGGTTTACCTGCTTATATTTGGTCTTTAAGCGAAAAGAAGAGGGAAGAGTGAATAGCGGAGGGATCTGGAGGTATAGCAAGCCTGTCCCACATTTAATCGATTAAAAAAACACTAGCTAGGCTCCAAAATAGGGGCGGAAAAATAGATGCTACAGCTCTGATTCATTTCACCAGATGTTGATATTGAGACGGATTTCAGTTGCCGAGAATATGAAGGCTGTTTTCTATAGAGGAAAAGCAGTTGCGGAAAGGTGACCGAGCCTGAGGCAGCTCGGGGACTGAGGCCCAAAACCTGATTCAAGGATAAACTCCAGGCTTCCCGTCACTGCGGTTTAAGTTTTGGCGACCGAGCGCAGGAATTGACAGAATAGATCCCACGGGAATGACGTTGTTGAACAGCAGAAGTAAGCAACTTCTTGTTTCATACAGTGAGTTGGAAAGTACCTATTCTTTTGATGCTGTCGTCGCACCCCCTTTGAGGACAAAGACGGATGAAAGCAATGGAGCCTCATGGCAAGCAGTGAACAATCATACTAGTAATTTAAGGACTGACCAAGCACAGTTAATGCACAGTCCATTTCGCAACAACTTTAACTGGGATAGATGTTCGTTCCACAGTGAACATTTGAAAGATGGATGCTTTTTGCATAATCCATGATGAATAACAAGGAAACACTGTTGGGCATCACTGAGGCATTCATCAATGTGGCCGAACTGATATGGACCATCACACGGATGTTATTCGACAGCTATGCATTACCACCATCATCAGGTTCGTTTTTCAGTGTTGTCTATCTATGGGAGTGCACTGTTTTCGCCGTTTTGAAAAGTGTTTATCAGCATCACTTGAACCAGAACTAGATTGCATGCGCCTAGTTGAAAACAAATTTCAGACCGGTCTTCACATGGAAGTTTTGATGTGATAGTCAACCATGTTGACCTGTAAGATCCAACCCCTTTTTCTCAGCTGTCACTACTTATTCCATTTGTGTTAGTATGGTTTGCGTCCCGTCGATGATTCTGGTGACGTTCGCACGGCCGGGAGTGTTACCTCCACCCCCCGAAGTGTCAAGACTATTGATTCGATCTACAGTTAACGAAGACATGTTACCTACCCAGTGGGATTTGGTGACCCTTGGGGCTGACAGTCGTCCCACATGGCTATTCACAGTGAAACTCACTCAGGCACATCTTAACACCTGCACGGTGGCAAATTCATACTATCCGGTAAGATTTGGAGTTGATCGATAAGCCCATTGACAAGGATAGTGGAACCTTTTCACAAGGGTAGTTTTTAATTGGACAACGTTTCGCTTTTGACATAAAAGCCTGGCCTGGTGAGGCTTTTGTGTCAAAAGCTAAATATTGCTCAATTAAAAACTATCGATTGTTTACCAAATCCTTCCGAAACGATGACTTCTCAATCGGTTCCAAACCTTTTCCAATTGATAAGACAAACTTGTCTCTGCTTCCTAAAATGAAGACGGCTGGAGTACGGCTTCAGGATAACTTGTGTCAATCACAATTATCGTAATTATGTAGGTTAATTCTGATTAAAGGAATACTCATTGTTTTTTCATAAATGAAACTACTCACAAGGTTGCTGAAAACTCTTCGACAGCCCACGATCGGTTTCGCCCTTCCTGGGGCTCATCAGGTAGGCGAAGTCCCCGAGTTTCCGCCAACCTTATGTTCTGCTTGAACCCAAATTCAATATCATGCCAACTGAATCATGAGGTGGCCGGTGTGCAGCACATTCAGTTGTAGAATATCATAAACGAGAGATTCAGTTGAGTCTCTGGTGAAAACCAAATTGATTTGCAAATGAGTGTATTTCTCGAATGCTCATTGTTATTTATCGAGGATAACATTAACCAATCGCTCCAGCGTAAGTTCATTCACATAAGGAACGGGGACAGATACTTTCGTGTATTCAGTGTTCCTTTGATTAGATAAGGATCAACGATTCGGCTTGCTTGGGCTCCAGACTGCAGTTTTTTGGTTTGAACTGGTTATGAACTTCGCACGCTGTGTGTAGACTAATTCGAGGTCGTTCAGAGGCATTTGTTCAATGGTTGTTCGAGGTAAATATGAAAGGGACTGATTGGAAAGTTTTAACAACGAGAGGTTAAATGAACACAGGCAACCATTCACAGTAATCTGAACATCAATATGCATCGGCAGCTTTGATACTATGGCTTGTAAGTAGGGCAGTGAGAGAGAGAGAGAGAGAGAGAGAGAGAGAGAGAGAGAGAGAGAGAGAGAGAGAGAGAGAGAGAGAGAGAGAGAGAGAGAGAGAGAGAGAGAGAGAGAGAGAGAGAGAGAGAGAGAGAGAGAGAGAGAGAGAGAGCAACAATATTTCAGTACTACACACAAAGTCAACCAAAGCCCCGGACAGCTTCAGTCATTTGTCGTTTACCTTGGTGTTGACGGCAGACTCAGTTGAATTTCGTCTGTCTCTTGTCTACAATATACTTCAACTGTATGTGCTGTAAAAACCTGATCCCATGTTTCGGTGTGTGTTTCAACACTGTTATCTTTCAGCGGCTTTATAGGTAGCGCGTTCTGTTCAAAAAGTTGCAATACCTACGTTGATGAATTTGGCGATCAGCCACTGATTTTATTGTGCAGTATGCATGTGCCCAAGTGCAGGTACCATGATGTGCCGTGATGACACTAACACATTTTCCCCGCTGTGATTAGATGAACGGGACAGCCGATGATAATCTTCAGTGTGCAACACGCAGACGCGTTCGTCATGCAAGCCGTGTGATGTGATGATGCCAACTATCATTTGCTGCTTTCACCATTACTTGTGTCTGACTGATTCGCGTACAAGTACATAGCCTTCACGTCCGTGCTCGAATCAAGCAATTATTTGGTATTCTTAATATGCCCGAGAGTCAGCATTAAAAGAAACTCGGTTCGACTTAAAAAAAAGGTGAAACCCCTGGCCTGTCTGAGGTACGCTTTCAGCGCCGAGTATCCGTGGGCTGATCCAAAAAAGATTGCAAAAAGGCAGACCAGCATTCACATCAAATGTGAACAAGAAGCCTGCACGTATACTTTTACCGTTCAAGGCGGATAAGCAAAGGCGTCAACTACCAATAATTCGTACTCGATCCACCGGTAGTCTACAAATATTTTTCAGTTCCACACCATCACTATGTCTGTATTATAATGATAAGGGATCGTCCTGTCACGTAAGTCACACAACCGATGTTTATTCGATCAGCTACGTAGATAACATTCATTGGTCACTCCACAGTGCCATTCGTGCTTCAATCGAACAAGCCAACCCGAGTTTCGGAGATCTTTTGTCCAATCTGTCACCTTCAAGATAGCCCTTCCGGAATAGTTACGACGAAGATTTTAGCGAAGATTTTCGACTAACTGATCCTCCCATTGACGTCAAGAAACACTTGAGGACACTACAACCACCCGAACCGTCCCACCTCTGACATGGTGTAAACGTTCTGCAATTTCCGATAGGTCTAACGTTAATCAGTTGTAAGTAGTGAGGAAATGCCGGAATAGACCCCAATTATTTGAAAGCTTTGAGAGCAATTACACTGTGCGATGAACACAACGTGGATGATAGCCGGATTGATTGTCCGATCTCTGTATCTATTTGTTCGCTGTTCCGTTGTTCGTTGTTCCGTTTCCCGGGACAAGTGATTCGGTATGTGAGCGGTTGTACAAGCTTGATAAAGCGTTGCTACAATCGAGCTTGTTCGTTACACTCCATCCTGCAGCGTTCACTCAGACGAGCTTCAGACACTTGATTCTCCCAAATCCATTAACGGACATTCACGTTGTTTTCTGCGCAGTGCACTTGAGCTCGCGTGACAGACTAGAGACGGTGATGAGGTGTGGGTTGACTCTGTTTGACAAGACATCTCGACCAGACATTGTCGCACACCAAAATGAAATTTGGCAGGTAGGCAGAAGAAAGTCACATCACTAACGTCAAGCAAATATGAGACAGTAAGATCGGAAGGATAGATTACTTGTGTCGATAAAATCCAATTTTCTAGTGGAAGAAATCAGGCACTTCACTTTTCCAAACCGTAATAAATTCTAGGGACCGTGTGTCTACCACGATTTCTTAGGTATTGTGGAAATTTGCAGCCGATAAGATGTTCGGGTAGCTATTAAAGCATAGTAACACCGAATCAATAGTAAGAGGTTTAGGGTTAGTAGCTCAGGTGAGTTTACTGGTTGTTGATCAGGTGGTCGTTGATCTGTTGACCCAGGATGGCAATCGACATGCAAACGTTCCGTCAGCCTACAAAGAGACATCATCAGTGCGCAGTTGGGTGAGCAGGTGCGTAGTAGAGAGAGGAAGTGCCCACCCAACTGCGTACTGATGACGAAACGTTTGCAAGTCAACTGTCAAGCTCGACGAACAGATCATCAACAACAGGGTATAACGAGCTCAAAAGTGACAACAAAACTCTATCAAATTTGACCGACTTCAGGTTCCCCAAAAGCTGAAAAATACAACCACATTTCTATGCAATTTTCATCACATCGAAGGATAAGCACACAAAAATAATTTTTGAATCGTGGTGTCCAGTTGACAGACAGCCTTCGAGAGCAACTGAGGTTTGCGTTCCGGCAACAAATAGGCCAACACGGAACTGCTGACCATTGTTGATGGGGTCCTGTGAATGTTGGATCTCTGCACGGTTCAAGGCCATTAGTATCTGTAGTCACTTCGTTCTCTAGTTCAAAAGCGACGTTACAGCCTAGCGGATTAATTTCAGAAATATAACGTGGTCTTCATCTTGTCAGGTCCGGGACATTATCCAGCTCAACGGCAATCTAGCTGATCAAATTTCAGTCGTTGGCGGAAGAAACTGGTCAGTAATCCTCACGAAATATTCACCGGAGTCCGGCTTAACATTTCAAGTTCATCTTTACAAGGTTGGTAGGTTCTAGCTTACATTTTGCTCGTTGCGTCGCAGTCTGGTTTGCACCACTCTGGCGAGCTGTGTAAAAGGCCTTGTGTAGAGAAACACTGCAGTTTTCCGTTCGACAAACGGTATATAGCATCTTGGTAATCCTCCTTCACCGACCTAACATTTTGCTTGCTGAAGGAGTCAAGGGCATTGGCACAGTCGTTTAATCTCTTAGAACACTGCTCTCAGTCTTCTCTTGTTGACCAGCTTGGATACAAATGCCTCTATTTTGTTGTATTATTCACGTCGAACAGGTTGCTGTTGTCAAGCGACAAATTTGAGATGATGGGACTGTCCTTTATCCGTTTTGCTCAAATCATCTGTGAGCCATGCACTACACTATCGTTGTGTATTGGCCACGTAATCCACGTAGAGGTACGGGAGCAGAGAAACATCCAGGCCGCAAAAGTCTGGATGGTGGTAATCAACGGTATTGGTAATGAACTCTTCATGTATCTCACGAAAAACTCAGTATACCAAAATCTACGGAAACACTGTCAAAGGATTTAAATAAGTATAACAGTTTGGCTGTCATAAAGTAGTAAACTTTACCGGATAAGTTTAAGAGTGACACCTAACTTTATTTGGGTTTACCTCGGGTGCTGGGGGTGGCGGTCCTGGAGGTCGTCGGGACCGAAGGACGACACCGTTGACAACGACGGAGTCGGAATTTGCTGTAGGCTGAGTTACTGCAGTGGTGGTAGGCTGGTTAGGTATAAATGCTGTTGGAGGAGCGGTAATTGAGGCACTAACTGGAGCTGTCGTTGTCGATGTTACCATTGTATTCAGCTGCTGACCGGCTGTCGATTCTGATACGACTTGGTTGCTTCCCCCTCTCGGTACAGGCGACTGCCGTACGACTCCAACAGGCAATGAGCTATTGTCCACCACAAGTTGACCGCCGCTGGTCAGTAGGGGTACCAGTGGCTGGACAGAAAAACGCATGCATTTGGAGAAATATTATTATGGGAAAGGATAAGGCGGTAATGGTAGTCCAGTTTCGGGAACAATTTAATACGTATTATATAGAATCTTACGTACTCAAAGTTAACAATGCCAACGACTAGCTGTAACACTGACCAAAAGTTTAGCTTTGAAAGGCTGTTTGAATACAATCAGCGCGGATACCCCGACCTGGTCATCGGAAACGAGCAGCAGCCTGGTCAAACCCATCATATGCTTTCGTAGTTAAGAGAACAAGCTCCTGAAAAAAAAACAATCGAGAACCAGCTCATTCGCAGTTTCTGCTTTATTCATAAACTCTGCGCCCCCAGATGAACTCCTGCTGCCTGCACACACAATACATCGTTGGAAAACATATCAGCATAACTGGATTGAAAAGTGAACAAATGCAAAGCGACGTTGATGGTGGTGATGCACGCAACAAAGAGGTTGAGTCTTCCCAAAGATTTCGTCATTATGGGCACTATTGTGAAGGAAAGAAAAACTATTGTCTCCATCCCCCAAAAGAATTTCGTTTGTACGATAACTATTAGTAATGGAAATGCCAAGCTCTATGATATTTGAACGGCTTCCATACGAAAAAAACAAGTGAGAATTCTGTTGGATCCGTTGAGGGGTGATGGGTATAACGGGAACACTGTCCTTCGTCCAATCGGAAATGATGTAGATAAGAGCAACCTCCAGAGAAGACGTTCCATTGACGAACGCAATGAGTGCATGAAATCCAACGGTGGCGATCCTACTTTGAGAAATGGTACCTTACACGGGCGCAAAATACAGCCTAATTGGAAAAACTTCTGTGAAGCGGATGGGCACCTTAGAACGCTGTAGTTCAAGAGCTTGGATTGAACTGTCCGAAGCAAAGGGAGGTTCTTTAGAAGTAGAAAGTGTGGCGATCGCGAAGGTTCATTTGGACGGTGAGAAAAAGGTGACAAAAAGGAAGTAGTATGGTGCTAGGCACCTGTCAACCCAAACTTCGGGAAGCGCTTCTCAGAAAACTGAACGGAAAAGACCCCATCTAGGAGCACAGTGCAACTCAGGATAAATGATAGTAAAGCCTATCAGTCATCTCTCAGCAAGATGTATGAGGTATGTCGGAGGGAGTGTTAAAAAACAATATGAATAAACACTTGATACGATATGACGGTGCGTCGATTATTCTAGATGGAGATGTGATGACGAAGAACTATTGCTCCTGCCCGCATCGAAGATCTTCTGAGGATTTTTGGTCACTGGTAAAGAAATTAGAAAGAATAGACCGATAAAAGACCGTCTCCGCGTTACATTTTTCGTCAAAAGGGTTTAAGGTCATGTCATTACGGATATATTGTCACTCATCGGCACTTGATGCGGACGGTAGGGTATTATGGAACAATGGTACTATGTTACACTCATCTAGGTAAAACATATTATGCGCAGAAGCAACCGAGAACACTTGAAAACTTGCGACCTGTGTTTTCAAGTGAATTTGACGTAGGTATGAATGGCGTAAACTATGAACTGGACATCGTCTGATTTGGTAGAAGGGTGTGAAGGAAACTAGACGAGTTTAGGTATTGTTGGTATCGTCCGCCATCCAGGATGATACCTCCATGATCCCTCTGCGCTTGGCTGGATACAGCGGTGATCGGTGTCAGTGACGGTTGCCGGGGCAGTTTCTTTCCAGAGTGCCTAATTGAACACCTGGAGGTGTGAACTGTTCAGAATACTTATGATAGGCCAGTACCAGCTGCTTGACCGTGAAGTATCGGTGCCGGTATTGATGTTAGTTTCTCTGACAATGATTATGACAGCACGAATAAATACCACTTTCTGAAAACGGAGGCGATTTGTTTTGAGGCACACAGGATCTCGTGCCAGGAAAGGAACCAGGATAGAGAAACTGAAAAATTGACAGGGATCTCGCTCAACCTGTAAACTATGGGTCAAAAAGCTTCCTTGGAGTGACGTCATACTATCGGAAGTTCAAACAACGATGATCGAAGGCAGTAAGACCTCTGAATGACCTACAAATGAAGAAGCAATGTTTCAGGTATATGACACAACAATACGCATATAAAGGGCTATACTAAGCCTTGTGTGGGTCGATAAACTTGTAAGCCGTCATCACCTCCTTAAAGATTGGTTCGAGACACAGATGCCGGTGATACGGGAGTCAGTCTAAGACAATGCAAACAGTGCAGGACAAGTGATAACGCACAAAAGTAGAAAACCAAACAGGGACAAACAGATACATTGTCCACACCATCTTTCCGGGGCTTCTTAAGATGTTTTTTGGGTGATATTCACTTTCACAGTATGGTAGAAATAGTGTCGGGGATCTTCTTTCTATTCAGCTTGTGTATGAACCTTCAGACATTCCAATCAAGCCAACAAGTTTTCCGTTTGACCAAGTAAATCCATCAGCAAAACAAAACTACCGAATAAAAGGGTTTCTCACTTTTCCAGTGGCGCGGTCAATGCAAATTATCCGGTTTCCACTTTGTGCAATCCCCGAGGGTCCAGCAAGTAATGCATAGCCTGGGGGAAGTGTGAGTCGTGCTGTGGATTGCGCCATTTTTGAAGGGTCCACAATAAAGTTGGGATCGATGGGTGAAGTTCTCAGCAATTGGTGAGTTTGTTGCGGCTGTGCGCCCACAGAGTATGTAGTTGCTGGACGAAAATTGGCAGGTCGTCCGGGCATACTCGCTCCGTCTGTTGTCGGAGCTGGAGTTCCTAGGGCAATCAGAGGCACACCATAGTTGAACTGAGACATAGCAGATGCCTGAGTGGTTACCAGAAGTGAGGCATGCATGGTTACGTATGGATCTGTAGGAAGAACGGCAACACCGACTGGTCGAGGATTGACTGATCCTGGTGACTGGGCAATTATTACGCTAGACGCGGTGGGGCTTGCGGGTCTGGATATGGACGAAGGGCGCCAGTTTGGTTGGTTTAAGGTCGTTGCGCTGGGAGCCATTGCAACTGTGCCGAGACCAGCTACGGAGACAGGCCTTAGGGACAGATCTTGCATCCGAAGTTGGCTTGGGAGAATAAAGTGGGCTGAATAATCGGGAACATTCGCTGAGGATTTGTGGTCTGTTTGTGGACTTCATGCTGAACTGTTTGAGGCAGCTGGAGACCCCGCGGATACGGAGC